CAGAACGCCCATGGAGACCAACTTCGTGAAGGACAGTCAGCTTGGGAGCATTCTGAGTTCCAAAACCCTGAGGTGTTTCAGTCAGCGCTAGGGAGTCTGTTGTATCTCTCTCAGTGGAGTAGACCAGACATAGCGTTTGCTGTGAATCTGCTCAGCAGGGAGGCTACAAAGCCCAGTGTGAATGCCTGGCAAGGCATCAAGAGAGTGTTGAGGTATTTGCAGGATACCAAAGAGTTTTGCCTCACGTTGTCGGCTGAAGGTGACACACGGCTTACGTGCTGGAGTGACAGCGATTGGGCATCTCTTGGGGACAGGAAGTCTGTGTCTGGGCTGGTGGTAAAGTTCGGGGATCCCTGGTTGGGTGGAAGTCCCGGAAGCAAAGTCTTATAGCGCTTTCTTCCACTGAGGCTGAGTTCAGTGCATTGTCGGATTTGTGCAGGGAGTTGGACTTCTACCGGTGCTTGATCCAAGAGATCTGTGGGGATTGTTACTTGCCCATAACTGTTTGGGGAGACAATCAACCTTGTCTTAGGTTGGCAGAATCTGGACAATTCAAGTCCAGAACCAAGCATTTGGACATACGTTTCCAGAATGTATGTCAGAGTGTCCAAGCAGGTTGGATACAGCTCAAGTATTGTTTGAGCCGGGAGAACCTAGCTGATGGGTTTACCAAACCCTTGACCTTCCAGCGACATGGGGAGTTCTGTGAAGGGTTGTGTTTGGGGTGAGTTATACTCACAGTTTCCCTCAGGATGCGAGACGAGAGGGGGTGTGAGGAGAATCAGAACTTACAGGGTTAAACAGTTCTGTGTGACGTCTCACATTCTGAGGCGTGGTTTGGTTCACATACAGGAATCTTTCTTTGTGTGTGAGTTTCCTTTCGTTTTTGGCTGAGAGATGAAAGAAATGTCTGCTCTCTCGCCGGGACTGATTTATGATGTTTTTCTTCACATTAAAGGCTGTTAGAGATTAGCAAGAGGCCTGCGTTCAGTCTGATTTATTATCCACACACACAAGGCAACACTTTCTACCGCTGCTAAGAACTCTGCTGAGAGCTTCAAAGAGCTCAAGTTTTCTATCGGCACAAGCGTCCATCGGCACAGGGGAAGCGTGCCGGGCGCCATCTTATCTCACAATTAATGCCATGTCAAGGTGCTGGCAGTGGCTCCCGTGTTGGACCTGGGAGACCAGGGTTACCATCTGATCACTAGGCGACGTTGGGCCACCCACTGCAGTACAGCGCAGCCTATCTCACAGGGTGGTTGTGAGGATAAAAGGGAGGTGGAGAATCACAGAGGTCACCTTGACCTCCTTGGAGGAAAGGGAGATGATGATGATGATGGTGATGATGATTCATACCCTGCCCATCTGGCTGGATTTCCCAGCCACTCTGGGCGGCTTTCAACAGAATATTAAAAACACATTACAACCTTAGACACTAAAAACTTCCCTAAACAATACCTTCTAAAAGTTTATCTCCTTGACATCTGATGGGAGGGTCTTCCACAGGGAGGGCGCCACAACCAAGAGGCCCTCTGCCTGGTTCCCTGTAACTTCTCACAGTGAGGGAACCGCCAGAAGACCCTCAGATGAGGACCTCAGTGTCCCGTCTGGATGATGGGGGTGGTGACGCTCCATCGGATGTACGGGGCCGAGGCTGTTTAAAGCCTTAAAGGTCAGCACCAACACTTTGAATTGTGCTCGGAAACGTACTGGGGGCCAATGTAGGTCTTTCAGGACCAGTGTTACACGGTCTCGGCGGCCACTCCCAGTCACCAGTTCAGGTGCTGCATTCTGGATTGGTTGTAGTTTCTGGGTCACCTTCAAAAGTAGTAGAGCACGTTGCAGTAGTCCAAGCGGGAGATAACTAGAGCATGCACCACTCTGGAGAGACAGTCTGCGGGCAGGTAGGGTCTCAGCCTGCATACCAGATGGGGCTTGTAGACAGCTGCCCTGGACACAGTACACCCTGCCCCTACTTGTAATCATAAATGCACAAGCAGTCTCCCTTCAAAGATTGCCTGCACGCATGAAGTAAGGGGCCGAAAGTGCAGGCACAGCAGTCTGGAGGAGCAGACATTTCCTGTTGTGGAAGTGAACATTTCCTGACTAACAATTGAAGGGGGACAGTCAGTTAGGTTACCCTAAAAATCGGTTTGTGAATTCCCCCCCCCCAACCAGGCCTCAAAGCCTCAAGCACTTTTCAAACTGCACTTTTCATTTTCTCTAAGGCTAAAAAAGCTTTTAGCTAAGCATTTTCTATGTAACAAAGGTAGCTGAATTAAAACAATGCCTTTCGCTCTCAGGCCAACTGACCTTGGCAATAGCACATTTAGCTTGTTGCAAACTCTCTTCCGGGAACAGAGCCAGGGAACAAGATAAACATTTCTATGTAAACCTATGAAGGGGGAGAGGAAAAAAGGGGGATAAAAACCTGCTTGTAAAATGTTTTCAGCTGCCTGTTTTGTGAATCCATCACACAGGTGCCTCTGCCCGCCCCCCCAGGAATGGCAGAATAAAGCTCTTTCTCTGGATTTAACCCCTTGGTGTCGTTTGACTCTTTTGTCTATACCCGGGCGCAACGCTTTCCTACCCATGGTTAAAGGGCCTAGAAAGGCTACACAATGAGCCTCTATTTTTGCAGTATTAATAAAGCAGCAGTATTAGGCTATAGGATGCGCAGGCACAGTAGTATGTTGAAGTTTGGTAAGAGTTATGTCAGCAGAATTAAGGTTACAGGCTTGGAACGCAGTTGCAGCCAGCAGCAGGGTGCTTATTTTCCAAAGAAGGGAATGAAAAGTTTGGGCGACTTATAATTGGTTTTGTATTATTTTCTTTGTCTGTGAAACTGACCCCTGCGGGCAACGCCCTAGGGTCCAGACTTTGGGAACAATCTCTTTGAAACACTCTGCTGCACAGCAAAATAAAGGAACTTTTGACTCTCCTCTCATGTTTCTGATTGGTAAGAACCAGGAAGAACAGGGGTTTTTCCGGCAACACTGTCACTGAAACTCTTTTGAGTACCAACATTTAGCCTACCCACAAGCACATCAAATATCAACATAAAGGATGTCTGGAGCAAAACAGCTGAATGTATAGCCTTCATCTTAGAACTACTGCTTTTCTTTCACCTATACACGTTTCCCTAGAAATCAGATTTCCTGTGATCTAAAAGAAATTTCCCTCTGGCAATTGTAAAGATAACCAATCATTTTGGATACATATTATGGGCTATAGGTATTGCCACACAGGGTCTTCCCTTGCTGAGAGACTCAGGTTTGCATTGAGTTTACGGATAAGCTGAGATTTAAAAAGGTCTCAGCCTGCGTACAAGATGGAGCTGGTAGACAGCTGCCCTGGACACAGAATTGACCTGCGCCTCCATGGACAGCTAAGCATTTTTCTGCATTGCAGATGATTGGACTAGAAGACTTCCAGACTCCCTTCCAACTCTACAACTCTATGAATACAGGTAAACTCAGAAAAAGGCAAAATATATAAAGGCCAAGCCATTTGTGTTCAATCAGGAGAGACACCAGGAACAGCTGGCTGGCTCATGGGAGATGGATGAAGTTCCCAAAGCATCCAGGATTCCCCAAATGGGCATCTGGTTTCCCACTGGGAGAGCAGGATGCAGGAAGATGGACCCTTGTCCTGATCCTGAATTACATCAAGAGTATGTAAAAGATTGGGACGCGGGTGGCACTGTGGGTTAAACCACTGTGCCTAGGGCTTGCCGATCAGAAGGTTGCGGTACGAATCCCCGCAACGGGGTGAGCTCCCGTTGTTCAGTCCCTGCTCCTGCCAACCTAGCAGTTCGAAAGCACGTCAAAGTGCAAGTAGATAAATAGGTACCACTCCGGCGGGAAGGTAAATGGTGTTTCTGTGCGCTGCTCTGGTTCGCCAGAAGCAGCTTAGTCATGCTGGCCACATGAATGTACGCTGGCTCCCTCGGCCAATAAAGCGAGATGAGCACCGCAACCCCAGAATCAGCCACGACTGGACCTAATGGTCAGGGGTCCCTTTACCTTTATGTAAAAGATCAAAGAGGAAGTTGGAAATGGAATACAGGCATTTAGCATTTTCAAGATCATTTACCTGTTTGTGTATATGCACCTTCAGGAAGAATCCCTGAGTCTTCTCCCCAATGAGGACGAATCAGGTGTGCACCCACCTCCCTTCATTTTGGGGGTCTCCCTTCCCCACCTGTCAGGCAGCTTCCCTGTTTGCTCTCTTTCCGTCTCCACATCCCACCAGCACTGCATTGCATTGCAATCCCGCCCCCCAAAACATGCTTTTATGCCTGCACTGGGCCCATCCTGCACCCTGGATTTGATCTCTCTCAGGAAAGAAAAAGCATCAAAATCTACTGGAGGGGAACCCGTTTCCTCCCCCCGCTTTGCCCCAAGTCCAGTTGGGGAGGAGGGGGCATTTATTTAATTCCTCTAGTCTTGAGGCTATTTAAAAGGTCCTTAAGACCCTAATCAGTTTCAAATCCCGTCACCGATGCGCCCATTTCCCTTCCAGAAGGGAAAGTGAGCAGGTGCTTTTTCAGGGTTCAGGAAATCCAAAATGTGCCTCTCTCCTCCAGTTTTGGGGCACAAAAGCAGCACAGCCAACCCTCACCGGTTCCTCCCGCCCCCCAACACGGGCATTTCCAACTAGGATGTTCACTTTCTAGCAAGGCAACCCCAGCTTGTCAGCCCCACATCCTTGAATTTTGAAAGTGGCCTCTTCCCACCTTTGAAAAAAGCAAATTGTTTGCTCTTTTTGCCTCCTTCTTATATCAGCCTCCCTCTGGGTGTGGCTTTCGGTTATTAGCTACCCCTCCCAGTTTGATGCCATCCTCAAATTGGTGGTCTGACACCCCATAAACCACTCGAGGCGACACATTCAGCTGCTTTAAACTAAGCATCCTTTATGAGACTGAGTTGGCGCTACCAAAATGGCAATATGTGTAGCCCATCTCCCCTTTTCAAGAGGAGAATTTGGTAATATGAATCCAAAACGTTTGGTTACCTCCACATTTGTCAAAGATAAATTTCTCCTTTGGATCAGTGGAAATTTGATTTGTAAGAGATTTGTATATGTGAAAAGAAAGCAAATCAGATTTCCACTGATACAAAAGAGAAACTTATCTCTGACAAATGTGGAGGTAACCAAACGTTTTGGATTCATCTCCACCCCCATCGTTCAACCCGGATGGGCCAGGGGCCTTCTGGCGGTTCCCTCACTGCGAGAAGCGAAGTTACAGGGAACCAGGCACAGGGCCTTCTTGGTAGTGGCACCCGCCCTGCGAAACGCCCTCCCACCAGATGTCAAGGAAATAAGCAACTATCTGACTTTTAGAAGACATCTGAAGGCAGCCCTGTTTAGGGAAGCTTTTAATGTTTAATAGACTACAGTGGTATCTCGGGTTAAGTACTTAATTCGTTCTGGAGGTCCGTTCTTAACCTGAAACTGTTCTTAACCTAAAGCACCACTTTAGCTAATGGGGTCTCCAGCTGCTGCCATGCCGCCGGAGCACGATTTCTGTTCTCATCCTGAAGCAAAGTTCTTAACCTGAAGCACTATTTCTGGGTTAGCGGAGTCTGTAACCTGAAGCGTATGTAACCTGAAGCATATGTAACCCGAGGTACCACTGTATTGTATTTTAATATTCTGTTGGAAGCCGCCCAGAGTGGCTGGGGAAACCCAGGCAGATGGGCGGGGTATGTATGTATGTATGTATGTATAAATAAATAAATATTATTAGGCTACCACTGCAGCAGTTTTAATCTAAACATCCTTTATGTTGATATTTGATATGCTTCTGAATAGACTAAAGGTTGGTACTCAAAAGAGCCCCAGTGACAGGACAGTCTGAAGAGCTGGTCAGATTGTGAAACTTTATTTAGAATAAAAGGTAGGAGGCCCAAAAGCGAAAAAACAAAACAAAAAAACACCACCACCCCAGGTTAAAGATTACAAAACAAAGCAGACTGCTGTAGCTCTTTATCTGGACTAAGCATAGCCTATTCACAAGCAGTATAGTATTTCTAGTGTACTAATGCATAACACAGCAAATGGCCAGTCTCTCGCTGGTATGGAAGATGCACTGTGGACCCCGTCATGAAAAGGGGTGGGATTAAAGCTGCTAGGGCAGCTCAGGTTTTAAGGTCCTGCCCCCCCTTCTCTTTGGAGGGAGTGGCCTGTGGCTCTTTTTCAACATGTAGAGTCAAAGTCAAATATATCACATTTCCCAAGTAGACATCCTAAGCCACCAGAAGACCCCAAATACAAGCCACCCGCAATTGGCGTATGATGGTGAAGCACTCATAAGCCTGCCCCCTCCCCAATCTGCCCCCTTCCGGCTTGTCACGATGCACGATGCTCATATCAAATGCAAGTCAATCGATCGTTGCTTGTAGTCGCCTTGTGATACCGGAGATACGTGACCATTTTCCTTAAAGGAAAGGGTGATGGCAGTAGAACAGTGTCTTTAGCCACACCTCTGACCAAGGAGCTACGCTTTGTCTTATCTCCTTTTCCACCACTTGGATTTACACCAAATCTGTGCCCCATTCCAAATTTCAAACAGGGCCAGCCCAAACATTAGGCAGAGTGAGGATACTGCCTCAGGCACTTAACATAGCAGTGCTAGGAATTTCTTCTTTCCCCCTTATAATCAATTATGGCGGCTATGAATGTGTATTGATTACTTTGCATAACTCTAAGATGAAACATAGCTGCGCTGCCATACATTGTACTTTTGGCAGTTCGGTTCCATTAGGCTTCACTGTTGACGGTTTTTTCTCACCAAGCAGGAAGAAAACCTTACATCATAGTACATTGCAGCTCTTCTCATGCTCCATTCTCTGCTATGTGGGTTCTTTGATGTGTTGCAAGGTTTCCACTCTGGCTGAAGCTCTTTCCACACTCCATACATTTAAATGGTTTCTCCCCTGTATGGGTTCTTTGATGTAAAGTAAGGTTATTCCGACGACGGAAGCTCTTTCCACACTCGAGGCATTGAAATGGTTTTTCCCCTGTGTGGGCTCTTTGATGCACAGTCAGTCCACTCCTACAAGTGAAGCCCTTTCCACACTCCATGCATTCAAACGGTTTCTCCCCAGTGTGGGTTCTCTGATGTACAGTAAGCGCACTCCTACAAGTGAAGCTCTTTCCACACTTCATGCATAAAAATGGTTTCTCCCCAGTGTGGGTTCTTTGATGTAAAGTAAGATAATAATTGAGACTAAAACTCTTTCCACACTCCATACATTGAAATGGTTTCTCCCCAGTGTGGGTCCTTTGATGTGCAGTAAGGCTTCCGCTATGTCTGAAGCTCTTTCCACACTCCATACATTTGAATGGTTTCTCCCCGGTGTGGGCTCTTTGATGGAAAGTAAGGTTACTCCTACGACGAAAGGTCTTTCCACACTCCATGCATTCATACGGTTTCTCCCCAGTGTGTGTTCTTTGATGTACAGTAAGTGCACTCCTACAATTAAAGCTCTTTCCACACTCCATGCATTCAAACGGTTTCTCCCCAGTGTGGGTTCTTTGATGTAAAGTAAGAGAGTGACTAAAAGTGAAACTCTTCCCACACACCATACATTGAAATGGTTTCTCTGCTGTGTGGGTTCTTTGATGGGCAGTAAGGTTTCCACTCTGGCTGAAGCTCTTTCCACATACCATACATTCAAATGGTTTCTCCCCAGTGTGGGTTCTTTCATGTAAACTAAGGTTACTCCTATGACTGAAGCTCTTTCCACACTCCCTGCATTTATGCAGTTTCTCCCCAGTGTGGGATCTCTGATGTAAAGTAAGATGGTGATTGAGACTGAAACTCTTTTCACACAACATAGGTTTAGATCGATTTTCCCCGGTGTGGGTTCTTTGATGCACAATAAGGACACTACTCGAACAGAAGCTCTTTCCACACTCCGTGGATGTATGTGGTTTCTCCCCAGTATGGGTTCTTTGATGTAATGTAAGATGGTGATTAAGACTGAAACACTTTCCACACACCATACATTTAAATGGTTTCTCCCCTGTGTGGGTTCTTTGATGTGCAATAAGGTTTCCGCTCTGGCTGAAACTCTTTCCACACTCCATGCATTTGAACGGTTTCTCCCCTGTGTGGGTTTTTTTATGCTTGACAAGGTTACCAGCACTGCTTAAGCTCTTTCCACACTCCGTGCATTTAAACATTTTCTCCCCTGTTTGGGTTCCTTGATGTAAACTAACGCTTCCACTCTGACTGAAGCTCTTTCCACACTCTACACTGCTACTTCCTGAGCATTCTTCCTGTGGATTCAGGGATACATGGACACCAATATCCTGAGTAGTAAGGGAGTTATTTTTCCAGTTCTCCCACGTATTTCCTACATACTTTTTGGTTGATTGTTGATTTACAAAGGTCTCTTTCTGTGCTTCATGCTCCATGTTTTCTACAGACACCATGAATGGCTCATCATATTTCTCACTCTTCTGCCCATTACCTGTTTTGAGGCAGAAAAGAAAATGCCATTCAAATTGCAAGGTAAAGCAGAGACTCTCATTGTAGGTCAGGCCCAGTTCTCAGCTTCTCTGATTTTACCATTTTCAAGCATGTCTCCCTACTTCTCTCCCTCCTCAGCTACATCTGAAGTTAGCTTCTGAATATCCTACAGTCTCAACTAAGCACCTACCTGCTGATATCTCCCCTTCTTTGGGATTCTGGAGAAATGGATCTTGTCTTTCTTCCCAACAGGAGTTGAGGTCTGATTCTTTCAGGGAAAGAGACAATATTAGTTACTTTGGGCCACAAAATATAAAGCCATTTCAAATCAATGCGTATACCTATGACCTCAAATCCAAGATACAAAATAATAATAATATCATTCCGACTAAACATCAGGAAGAGCTTTCTGATGGTAAGAGCTGTTCGACAATGGAACAGTCTCTCTCTGGAGGTTATGGACTCTATTTCCTTGCATGTTCTTAAGCAGAGGTTGAGTGGCCATCTGTCATGGATGCTTGAGTTGAGATTCTTGCATTGCAGGGGGTTGGGTTAGATGACCTTTGGGGTCCCTTCCAACTCTACATTTCAATGATCCAATGAAAAGGGATCACATATCCGGACCAGATACTTCACTTGAAAATTTGTCACTGACCCATGCTAAACTAAAGTAAGAAACTCCAGGGAAACAGGTACAGTGGACTCTCGGGTTGCGAACGTGATCCATGCGGGAGGCACGTTCACAACCCACAGTGTTCACAACCCATCTGCGCACACACGGGTTGCGATTTGGCGCTTCTGCGCATGCGCAAAGTGTGATTTAGCGCATGCGTGAGTGCCAAAACCCAGAAGTAACCCTTTCCGGTACTTCCTGGTTTTGGCGCGTCCGTCACCCGAAAACGCACAACCTGAAGCGTCTGTAACCCAAGGTATGACTGTACTCTTAAAAGTGTGTTGAAAAAAATAACAATAATAAACTACAGTGGTACCGCGAGTTACAAACCCCTCAGGTTACAAATGCTTCAGGTTACAAACTCCACTAACCTGGAAGAGTTACCTCAAGTTGAGAAATTTGCCCCAGGATAAGAACGGAAATCATGTGCTGGCGGTGCAGCGGCAGCAAGAGGCCCCATTAGCGAAAGCACGCCTCTAGTTAAGAACAGTTTCAGGTTAAGAACGGACCTCTGGAACGAATTAAGTTCATAACTAGAGGCATAGCTGTCAACTTACAGATTTGAAAATAAGGGACCAGCAGCCTTGAAAATAAGGGACCAGCAGCCAAAATAAGGGACCTGCAGCCTCACCTGTTCCAGGCACTCCAGTCTTCCTGTCCTCCTGCAGTCTGGTCAAACTCATGCTGGTAGCTTCGAGAACACTGTCCAACCAACTTTGTAACCAGAGGTTCAACTGAATAGAATCTATTCAAGGCCTATGCAGCCTCAACTTAAGATGTCTCCCCGGCCTGGCTTTGCACTGCAAAGTTTGCAGCAGCACGTGCAACAAAATGGCATCCAGCATTCAAAAAACCCCTCAGCTTGCATTAACTAGCCACACACAAGACATGCAAGCTCCACCCCCCAGTCATTCTTAGACTTCTTATTGGGTGTTCAACACAGCCAAGCAACACAGTTGGAGCCTCCCTCCTCCCTGGCCGGCACGGAGGGAGGGAGAGGAGCTGCTTCCTTTGAAATTTAAGGGACATCATTTAAGGGACATTCAAGGGACATCTATTAATAAGGGACAGCAGCGGGACATGGCGCTGGAATAAGGGACTGTCCCTTCAAATAAGGGACACTTGACAGCTATGACTAGAGGTACCACTGTAGTTAGCCTTTTTCAGGAGCTTATATTGGCCCGAATATAAGCCGCACTCCCCCCCCCACTCCGACAGTGAAAAGTTAAAGTGCGGCTTAAATTTGCAATCTTACAAAAAATGGCGATAATGCAGCTGAAACAGACATACGGTAAAACGGAACGTGTGTGAGTGCCTGCTGAATTTTAAGGGAGCGGCTTATATTTGGGTATTGTCTTTTTTCCTCCCCACCCCATGAATTTTAAACGTGCGGCTTATTTGCGAGTGCGGCTTATATTCGGTATGTAATTTGTCCCTTGGACATATCTGAGGATTGGAAAGTAGCCAATGGAATAATTTTTCATTTTATTTTTAGAAAAAGGGAATGGAAGTGACAGGCTGGTTAATTTGACATCTGTCCCTGGACTAGATGACCTGTGGGATCCCTTCTAACTCTTATGATTCTAAGCCATGGGTAGGCAAACTAAGGCCTGGGGGCCGGATCCAGCCCAATCGCCTTCTAAATCCGGCCCACGGACGGTCCGGGAATCAGTATGTTTTTACATGAGTAAAATGTGTCCTTTTATTTAAAATGCATCTCTGGGTTATTTGTGGAACATAGGAATTTGTTCATTTCCCCCCAAAGTATAGTCCGGCCCCCCGCAAGGTCTGAGGGGCAGTGGACTGGCCCCCTGCTGAAAAAATTTGCTGTCTATAAAAATTCACAAATCATCCCCTGATTTCTTTCAGATTTTCTATTTCTTTTCCTTCCACTGTAATTTTATTTAAAATGGGGGGGGGGACTTTCTGGCAATGGCGGATTTCCTCCGATCGGGAGGAATCCCCTCCGTGGAAAACAGGGTCTGAACCACCACGGCGAGGCAGAGACCCATCAAAAACCACAGGCGGGAGAAGCCTGTGGACGTGGGATTCGGCTGGCACCCTTTGCGCCTCCCCTACTCGCGGGGAAACCCTGTTTTGGGGATCCGGAGCGACGTGGGGTGAGTGGCGCGGTGCTTTGAATCGACTGCTTCTTTCACGGAGTGAAGCCGCATTGCTGTTGCCGGAGAGTGCTGACTTTTCCTGTGGACAATTGGATTTCAAACAACTGCCCGTGAGTAGAACAGAAAATTGGACTATGAAATTTCTTAATTAGGCACCAAAAGCGGGAAGGTCTAAACAGGAAGTCCGCTTTCCGCTTTTGTAGATAGATTGAAGCAAAGACATGGCAAGCTAGAGTTTAGAAAGTCGTTTGTAAAGGATTAAATTTTCATCATTTAAAATTACTGAACCCCCCTTGGAAGCAGGAGAAGAGGGGGAAACCTTTTTTAGACTGTTTAAACCTGCAGAAGAGAGAGTAAAGAAAGGTAATTTTCCACCGTCTTGAACCTGGGAGCGGGGTGTCAGGACAGACGTTTTGGGGAAGTTCATTGACTATGGACAAACGTTTTTGACAGATAGTTAAAAGAAGAGAAACATATTGATTCCATTGTTCCCTTTCGCATTTAAAAGGAACAAAATATCGACAAAATATCTGAAAAAGGAAAACTTTGTTGCTAGATCTGCTTTAAAAAAAAAAAAGATGTCGGCCAATCAGTGTTAAAGAAGGATAGAACTTTCTTTATGTATGCTACAACAGCAGCAAGAATACTTATTGCAAAACATTGGAAGACACAAGATCTACCCACACTGGAGGAATGGCAGATGAAAATGATGGACTATATGGAATTGGCGGAAATGACTGGCAGAATCCGAGACCAGGGAGAAGAGTCGGTGGAAGAAGATTGGAAGAAATTTAAAGATTACTTACAGAAATATTGTAAAATTAATGAATGTTAGAATGATGACGGATTGAAGTTAAGTGGTTTCATGCGGTAATGGTATAAAAGAATAAGGAAAAATTGGTTTTTAATATCTAAAAAATTAATGTTATAATATATCAAGATTAAAGATCAGGATTAAAAAGGAGGGAAAGGAATCGCTGGACTAACAAATTGAATTAGAATACAAAAGAGGGAGGTATGAGGAGGTCCGGGAAACAAGTAAATGTAAAAGAAGTGATGAAAAGATGGAATTGTTTTTAACTGCTTTTTCTTTTTTGTATTTTGTATTTTTCCTTTTTATTGTTAAGTTTCTTATTAATGTGATCTTTTTCTTCTGAAATTTTAATAAATATCATATAAAAAAGAAAAGAAAAAAAAAGATGGATACAAATAGAAATTGTTTCCCCTAGAGGGAGCTTGTGAAACTGTTATTAAAGTCGAACTGGGGAGCTTTGCAGCTGTAGAGATTAAAGATCGTGGGACCAGACTTCGACCTTGAACAAGAATGTGCTCAGAGGCTTTGGTGCTTGCCTTTTGCAAGACAAGTGCTTTATTGGAACAGTTACATGAGAAGATGGATTTGATGACTGTTGCGATCGGAAATTTTGGACAGGCAATGGGTACCTATATAGAACCCACTCAGGAATTAATCCAGGAATGTGCTTTGACAGATCAGATGAGGGAGGAGGTTGTTGCTGGACCTCAGGTGGCAGAGATGGAGGGAGCTGTGGCCCAGCAGGAACATGAGTTGTTGGATTTGACGAATGAACCTGGAAAAAGTCAGATTTGGAGAGATGGAGTTCTGTTTGGCTTGGAGATGGGGGGCTGGATGGATCCCCCTATGCAGGGAAGTTTTGACCTTTCAAGTCTGGCTTTGGGCCGGGGGGAGTTCAGAGTTGTGGGGGTCCTTAACTTTGGAGGGACTTTGAAACATGCCTTTAAATACCACATGGATTTCAGTGTTGACTATGGAAAAGGGGCTGACTTGTCGAGAAAGGAGAAAAATATTGTCAAGCTGGAGTCTCCACGAGTGAAAGGAGCAGAAGACAAAGTAAAGTACAGGTATAAACATGAAGAAGACCTGCGGAAGGGACATGGAAAAGACTTAAGAGCCTCGGATATAAGGTCACCAGGTTGATGGACTAGATGGATGGGATAGAAAGGACTGACAAAACCCGAGACCAGGAAGAAGAGACGATGGATGAAGATTGGAAGAAAGTTTTAAAAATTTATTTAGAAAAGTATCGTAAAATTAATGAGTATTAGAAAAATGTTGGAATGAAATTATTTGGCTTTAGCAGAAATGTTAAGTAAGAATATGTTATTGTTAAAAGAATTTGGTATAAATAAGATTTAAGTTTTAAGTTTTAGGGTTTTTATGGTAAGATAAGGTTAAAATAGATTAAGGTAATTTAATGACAGAATATTGTGAAAGATGGAAAGGATTTGCTGAGATAATTAACAGCTAGAATACAAAAAGGGAGGTGTGAGGAGGTCGATGAAATAAGTTAATGAAAGTTAAGAATTTGGGAATATTGGATTTGTTTTTAAATTTTTGTTTATTTTTGCTTTTTGATTTTGATGCATTGTGTGTTTTGTTTTTTTCTTTTTGACTTTGGTTTTTATTGATTTTTTTGTTTAATTGTTACTTTTATCTACCTTTTTCTTTCTTTCTCTCTTTCTCTTGTTTTTTCTTTCTTTTTTCTTTGTAACTTTAAAATTCTCAATAAATATCATTTAAAAATAATAATAATAATTTTATTTAAAATGGGGATGGAGCGACTCCTTTATGCCGAATGTGACGCGCAGCGTAAATTAATAATGCAGAGTTTTTAAGTGAAAGAATAAGAGCTTTACTGAGTTAAAATAAACTTCTACATAAACAACATGGTTCCAAACAGTTTGACTGAAATTACATATTGACTCTGCTCACAACTGAGGCAGATTGACTCTGACTGAAATCTTACAGAGAACACAGGGAGAAAATGGCTGCTACTTATAAGGAGGAGAATGAGTCACATGTCGGAGTGACTCAGCAGTTAGCAGTTAGGCCTGAATAACTTTAGTAGGCCCAAATGATTGCACTTCCCAGCCTGCTTTGCTGCTTCTGCCCTCATGCGTCTTTGTCACATGACAGAATGTTGGAAGGTTGAGGACAGATGAAAGAAGGTCCTTCCTCACACAGTGCATAGTTAAACTAGGGAAATTTCCCACAGGGGGCAGTGATGGCCACAAACTTGGGTGGCTTGAAAAGAATATGAGACAAATGCATTGAGTAGGAGAGGTCTATCGATGGCTACTGCTTGTTCCTACATGGCATGAATAAATGGCTCAAACAGGAGATTCACACCTCCAACGTCTAACAGCCAAGAGGAATAAAAATGTGCCCTCACCTAAAGAGGCCACCATCTCATAATTCTCCTCCATGACTTCCTTGTGCAGAGCTCTTTGGCCAGGATCCAGCAGAGCCCACTCCTCCTCCGTGAAAAACACAGCCACCTCCTCAAAGGTCAAGAGGGCCTGGAAGAAGAAGAAGAGGAAGAAAACAGAGCTTCTCTTAGATCCCCATCATCCCCACTCAACACAGAGGGAGGCTGGGTGGTCCCATCTGTGCCTCTTCCCTCCTCCCTGCTCCCGTTGCTCTTTCCCTACCTGAGGAAGCTGCCTGGCTCCTCTTTCCTCTCCACCTCTGAGAAGAGACCAAGAGGGGGTCTTGGAGGCCATTGCGCTGCCACTTCTGGGACTCCCTCACCTGTTGCCAAGATGCACGTCAAAGCAGGGAGCAGGTCTTTGATGTGAGCAATGGAGAAAGACAGATTTATTAAGGGTGGGAGATTAATAATAATAATAATAATAATAATAATAATTTATTTATATCCCGCCCTCCCCAGCCGAAGCCAGGCTCATAGCGGCTAACAACAATAAAAGTAACACAACATTCTAAAATCAATTCATTTAAAAATCAATTCAAAATCAAATCAAAATCAAATTCATGGCAACCATTGGACAAGAGTTCTGTGAGGATTACAGAAGGAGGGGGTCAGACTGTGCCTTCTCCAAAGGCCTGGTGGAACAGCTCTGTCTTGCAGGCCCTGCGGAAATATATCAAGTTCCGCAGGGCCCTAGTCTCTTGTGACAGAGCCTTCCACCAGATCGGGGCCACGGCCAAAAAAGCCCTGGCTCTGGTTGAGGCCAGCCTATTCGCTTCCCCTTCTCAATAGGCAAATTATTGTTTCCATTTGCCTCCTTCTCACATCAGCCTCTTTCTTACTAGGGAAGCTCCAGAGGCCGATTTCCCTTAACATTGTCCCTCTCTCTCACCCCCCCCATACTTCAAGATCTGCTCCCGCTCTCCGAATCAAAAGGATTGTCTCTGTTCTCCAGCTGTTTCCCCTGCACCAAAGCAGACTCCCTCGCCCACTTGCCCTCCCGATCTCCGCCATGGGCAGCCGGTTCTACCAGGAGCCCACTGAGGCAGAGCCTGGAAGGAGCAATGGAGGGGTGGGCGGGCAGGAGGGGGCAGTGGTGAGAGGGGAGATGCAGGCTGTTCAGCAGAGCATCACTAGGTGGAATGGGGCTGCAACCCCTTTGAATGGAGTAGGACTGACTTCTGAGTAAGCTTGCACAGGATGGGGCTGCAAGCCTATTTGCAGTTAGGTTGCATGAGGGCGGATTCATCTCAGGCAGCCCCCCACCTCGCCCCCTCCTATCCCCTAGGGATGTTGGCTTGATCTCTCTGCTTCAAGAAGGATCTTGTAATGCAAACCCTGTTGGGGGAGGAGGGCTCTATTTTGCAGCCGGATTGCCTGGATCCCCCCCCCCACTAAACGGATCCTACTTGCCTCTCACCCCCCTCCCCAAATCCTTCCTCCCCTCCCCTCCCAGCTGCCCAGTTTGTTGATTAAGGGGGAGGAAAAGCAAGTCCTTCACCCTCCTCCCACGCCCAAATATGCTGCACCTCTTTCTCCCCTTCAACCGGCCAGCTTCTCTTCTGGGGCTCTGCATGGAGACCCCCCCCTCCCCTCCAACTTTGCCACTTCCATCCATCCTCCCCCTGCAAAAAAAAAACCCCTCTTGCCTCTCTAGGAAGCGCAGCTCGATAGACCCAAGCGGAAATCCTGATTCCCCGCAAACAAAGCTCTATGTAATCTCGTTTATTTAGTGAGAAGGACGCAGGTTCGATCCCCGGCAGCGGCAGCGAAAGAGACCCCCCCCCCCTGGAAAAACGGCGGTGGAAGAAGGTGAGCCTTCTACATTTCGCTTGTTCCAGTTCTGCTGGAGGGGTTGGGAGAACAGTTACTTGCGACCACCCTAAAGGGAAGTCGAACCGGGACCCCAAACCCGACGTCCCTCTGCGGGTTCCGGACCTCCACGATGCGTCGGCCGGTGTCTCCCCAGCAGGAATCTTCCGGGGCGCTCCGGGCTCCGCGCGCGCTGCGAGGCGCATCCGTGGTGCGCCTTGGGGGGGGGGTCCCTTTGGGCTGGAGAGAGGGAGAGAGGGAGTCCACGTAAGGGTTAAAGGACGCGAGGGACGCCTGGATAGAGACCCCCCCTTGCCCCCCCCCCCGCGAGGCTCCTGCGAATGGAGATGTGGTCGCGCTCGGGAAAGACTTGGCGCGCAGGGCGAGGAGTGAGATGTGCCAAGGGAGGTTCCGGGCGCAGGAGAGCTTCAGGGAGGGCAGAGGATGCTGGGGAGGGGCTGGGGGGCATGGAAGCATCCCCGGGGCAAGAACAAGATAAGTCCAGTGAGCATTGGCCGGGGGGGGGGGCGGGCTGGAGACAGAGAACGGGAAACGTGGCCTTTCGGAGGGACGTATCCACCTTGTGCGCTGTCGGGGAGCCGAGGTCCCTTCGCCCCTCCCCATAAAATATTTGAGGGGGCTGCTCCCTCCCCCGCCCGAGTTGATTGGCATTGCCATTCAAATGGTGTATGCACGCTGTGTCGTGATCAATTATGTAGCCCCCTGTTGTAAACAAAATCTGCCCTTCTTCCCTTATGGGGTACCCAAGAGCCCATATAGAGTCCTTAAGTGGGTTCCCTATTGGTGGAAGAAAATAACAGAGGCCAAGCGGAGAATATTGAAAAGCAAAGCAGCTAGTAAGCCTGATATATATATATTCCCATATATCAGAAAAATTCCTCAGATGTCCTTGGTTTTGGGGTGTAAAAATGGCATCGTGAGGGAATTTGGCTAAATTGGCAACATCTATGGGGAAACCCTAGGCAGAATTAATTTTGATTATTATTTTTTAGGGGAAAATCTAATTTTTGGCAAATATATGCTACCTCAGGGTCTTATAATGAGACCAGAGTGGGTTAGAAGAGGCCTGCATACCTGAGGCAATGTATTGTTTACTCTTTCTGTAACACTTAAATCAAGTTCCTGGAAGTAAAGCTTTTAAACTCAGCTCAGTCAGTAAAGCATAAGACTCTTAATCTCAGGGAAGTGACTTGGAGACCCATGTGGGGCAAAAGATTCCTGTATTGCAGGGGGCTGGATTTCATTTTTTAAACAGGAACACAGGCGAAGGGAGCATGTGTGAAATGTTAAACAAATGTTAACACAAAAGAAGGTGCCATTGCTTTGTTCCCTTTTAACAGGATTTCCTTTCCCCCAACTCCCAACCAGGTGATGGAGAAGGCAGTCAGAATTCGGAGGGGCCATCAGAGATTTCATTAGGAATAAAAAAGATAGAATTTAAATATGTGGAATGTACAATGTGATTCAGTCAGGGAGCACAATGAGTTCACATCAATGAACTGCAACAGTGGAGACACCATTTAAAGGCATGGATTGCGGAAAGGACTTCCGTGGGAGTGGAATTCCTTCAAAACATCAAGGAACTCACACGGGGGAGAAACCATATAAATGTATAGAGTGTGGAAAGAGCTTCCTTTTGAGTAAACACCTTAATGCACATCATCGAACTCACACTGGTGAGAAACCATTTAGTTGTATGGAGTGCGGAAAGACCTTCAGTCAGAGTGGAAACTTTAAAAGACACCAGCGAATTCACACTGGGGAGAAACCATTTAAATGCATAGAATGTGGAAAGTGCTTCAGTGATAGTGGAAACCTTACAAACCATCAACTAACTCACACAGAAGAGAAGCCATTTAAATGCATAGTGTGTGAAAAGAGCTTCAGTTGTAGAGGAAACCTTAGAAGACATAAGCGAATTCACACAGGGGAAAAATCATTTAAATGTATGGCATGTGGAAAGACCTTTTGTGAAAGGGCAAAACTTTCCATACATCTACGAACTCACACAGGGGAAAAACCATTTAAATGCATGGAGTGTGGAACATGCTTCCGTCATAGAGAATCGCTGAAAATGCATCAATATACTCATACAGGAAATAAACCATATAAATGTTTTGAGTGTGGAAAATGCTTCAGTCAGAGAGAATCGATGAAAATGCATCAATATACGCATACAGGAGATAAACCATATAAATGTTTTGAGTGTGGAAAATGCTTCATTCAGAGTGGAAGCCTTAATGTACATCTACAAATTCACACAAGGGAGAAACCTTTTAAATGCATGGATTGTGGAAAGAACTTCATTAATAGTGGAACGCTTAGAAGACATCAGCAAACTCACATGGGAAAACCAATTTGAATGTATGTTTGGTTGCAGAATAAATCCAGGCACATCTGGAGGATATGGACCATTTGGACTTCATTTGTCCCAATTGGGTTTCAGGCCCTGCCATCAGACTGAGACCGACTTGTTGGCTGTTATGGAAAAATCTAGGTGTGAGGCTTCTCAGAAACCCAGCTCGTCAGGTAGAGCCCACGGGTCCCTGTGGAATAAAGGAAGAGTGCAGCCACCAACCGGAGCAAATAGCTGTAGACCAAAGTTTATTGCGCAACAGGTTCAAAGAGGAATTTTGAACCCTGAGGATGGGGTGACAAAGACTTTTAGAACTTTCCCACCATATCCCAGAATACAGTTTGTACAGCATCATTGCTACATCACTGACATGTTACCAAAGGGAGGGGTAGACAGGGGTTACCCTAGTTTAACCTTGGCAAACATGTTCAGACAAGTCCTTGGTACAAGATTAGCATAAGCAGACATGTCAGGGCAAGACCCAGGTATAAGATTAGCACAGGCAAACACCTCTGAAGTCCCACGCCCAAAGTACAATAGAACTTCCTTTGCATGTCTGGCCCCTTGGCAAGTTTGGTGATGGGATTAGGCTTTCCTTGGCCAACAATCAGCTCAGCAATTGTCACCTCTGGGAACTTCCTGGAGTCCCTTTGAAGAGGGAAATAGATTTGGAATGAAGGAAACTGGCAAAGAAGTTGATTTTATATTATTTTTTAAAGCTAGGTAACTTCCCTGAGCTGTCACATTGAAAGGATACATTCAGGCATAATATTTGTAACATTTAACTTTAATGTAATTTCTGTAACACTGGCACTGGTTGATTATGTCTGGCGGGCAAAAAGGTAAAAGCTGTTTCCTGGTTCTGCTGGATCTCTCCGTGGCTTTTAATGCCATTGACCACGGTATCCGGTTACCAATTTGTGATAAAAATATATACCTTACCCAGTTTGTTGAGAATAAAGCTCTACTGGTCAGGTTGGCAACCGTTGAACCACGAGTATTATTTACAAACTCCTCCAGTCATTGTGTGCACAGAGTCCCCACACCTCTCAGAAGTCAAGATAGAGCGAACTGAATTAACCAAGAAAGCGCCACCTCATTTCCTCAATGCCACCTCTGCTTTGTGAAATACATTCCCAAAGAAATGACATTGTAAATACTAACACATCCTCATGGACGGTATCGGAGGATTGGGAGTTAGGGGCAGGGTTATGCAGTGGTTCCGCTCCTTCCTCCTGGGCCGTGTCCAGAAGGTGGTGTTGGGGGTTGAGTGTTTGGACCCCTGGGTGCTCAACTTAGGGGGTGGTTCAGGGCTCCATCCTCTCCCCACGCTTTTTAACATTGCTTCCCTCTAGGAAGCAGGTCACGGGAAAATGCTTACATTTTCCCAGTCCTTGAATCACAGCATTTATAAAAGGAGTTTGTAAGCATTTATGTAAACACTGCCAACATTACCTTTTTGCCTGTGTTAAGAAAAGCTGAAATTTCTACAAAAATATTCCTCCGCTGTGCAACGAAGGCAGGGGCTGCTCCCCCACTCGTAGCTCTATGGGCCCCCGTGTTCCAAAACAAACCTGAAGTGTTCCCCCTGAATCAGTTGTTTCCTGGGCAATTGGACAAAAGGAGCCCCTGGAAGTGGGGGGGGGAGCGTTGGAAAGGAGAGGAGGGGTGACAGTGGACATTCTGCCCGCGTCTATAAATTGCAATAAGGGGAATTGGAAAAGCGGCTGGCAAGGGAGGACAAAAATAAGATGCTGCATGTGGGAAGGTGGTGGTGAGAGGGAGGAGGGGGAAGAAAAGGACAAAGGGACTTCTCCACCCCCCCCAAAAAAGCACCTCTTCTGGGACCCATTAGCAGGGACCTGGATGCACGCAGTCCAGTTGCCAAGTAAGGAACCCACAACTGCAGGGTCTGCAATGCACCATCTCCTTTGAAGAATCACACACGTTTCTTTTTCTCCTTAAAAGGTGTAAGAACAACAACAAGAACAATTTATTTCAACCCAGCCTCTTATGAATACATAATGAAACATTAAACCTTAAAAAGCATCCCTATGTAGGGCTGCCTTCAGATGTCTTCTAAAGGTTTAATAATAAAAATAAATTAAGGGCTGAGACCCTGCCTGCCTGCAGATTGCCTTGCCAGAGTGGTGCATGCTCTGGTTATCCTTGGACTACTGCAATGGGCTCTACGTGGGGCTACCTTTGAAGGTGACACGGAAACTGCAACTAATCCAGAATGCGGCAACTAGACTGGTGACTGGGAGTGGCCTCAGGGACCATATAACACCAGTCCTAAAAGAAGTTCATTGGCACCCAGTACATTTCTGAGCACAATACAAAATATTGGTGCTGACCTTTAAAGCCTTAAACGGCCACCTCCATTGCTCAGCCCAAACACTGAAGTCCTCCTCCAAGGGTCTTCTGGTGGTTCCCTAACTGCAAGAAGTGAAGTTACAGGGAACCAGACAGAGGGCCTTCTCGGTAGTGTCACCCTCTTAAAATATATCTGAAGGCAGCCTAGTTAGGGAAGTTTTTGCTTTTTGGTTTGTTTGCAGCCGTCCAGAGTGGCTGGGAAACCCATTCAGGTGGGTGGCATACAAACAATAAAATTATCATTATCATTATCATCATCATTATTAATCATCTTGCCCATCTGGCCGGCCAAGCGATGCTCAGGTGCCCTGCACCCCTTGGGCACCTTTGCAGGAATGGAATTGAGATGGCCGCCAAGGGCGTCGCTATAAGGGCCCCCATCCCCAAACAGGGCTGGGGGTTCAACCGAGGCCACCAAACAAGCGCCCCTCGGGATGCGTCCCCGTTTCCCCCTGGCAGGAATCCCTCGGGGCGCTCTTGGCGGGGCGCGCCTCTTTTGACGGGAGAGATGGAGAGTCCATGAAAGCGAGAGAGCCGAGATGCCTAGACAGGCCTGGGAAGAGACCCCTCCCTCACCAACTTCCGTCTCCTCCCTCCCACCCCGCGCGTCTTGGATGGAGAGGTCGGTGCGCTCGAGGGAGATTCTGCGCGCAGGGCGAGGGGTGAGCCGTGCCAAGGGGGTCTCTGGGCGCAGGAGAGACTGGGGACGGAGGGGGCAGGGGAACTTGGGGAGGGAGGGAAGCCTCCCTGGGGGAGGAAAGCCCCGTCCAGCATTGGCAGCGGGTGCAGAGAGAGAAAGAGACGCTGCCCATTGGAAGGGAGGTCTCCCACCTGGGCGCTGGCGGGGGAATCTCCGGAGAGGCTCGCCTTAGCTTTCTCCTCCTGCCCAGAAACCTGCCTTGGGGAGAGGGGTCCCTGAAAATGGGAGGGGGTCCAATTCCCCACCCACCTCTCCTTCCCGGAAGCTGGACTCTCCTTCCCCCACCCCCAGGCCAGCTGCTGCTGGGGGCTCCAGAAGCGGGACTCTGCTGCTGCTGCTTGGTTACACCGAGCCAGGCCATTGGTCCAGCTGGAGAGAAGAGGAAAGCGCAGGAAGCTCTTGAGAGGAAGGAGAGAGGGCTGTCCAGAGCGGGTCTTTGCATCTGGTATCCTCTTCCACGAAAGGACAGAAAAAACCCGTCTGCCTTTCCCAGGGTTTCATTTCTAAGCCTTAGTTCCACTGCATGTTTAATTGAGGTGATAATGTGGTCCACTACTCAAAAAAACATGGCTGGAGGTGCTATGGAAATTCTTTCAGGATTTGTGTATAATAGATATATGGACAGCCTTTCTATACCTTTTTATATGTCAAAGGGAGTTACAAGCTGAGACACAATCCATCAGCACCCAAAGACAGTAAATGTGTGCACCTTCACAGTCTGGGGTGCTTAAAAGGACAAAGGGTCCATTATTAGGATAGACAATGCTTGTGACTGGAGGCTTTACACACATTCATGTGCATATGCAGGCCAAGGATTGCCAGTATTACAGGCGAGGTGTGTGAGAGTGCAGAATTCCACAAACACTGTGTATGAGAGAAAGGGAGTGGGTGGGATTATCATTTATAGCAATGCTGTAATTTTGTCCGTAACATTTCGTGAGCTGATGCTGCGGTTTATTAGCCTCCAATGGGCCACCAGGAACTTTGTTGTTTTTGCATCAGAAGATAAATGTTTCTGAAGACTTTGACAGTTACATATGACATAAACGGCACTTCTCTTTTACTTGTTCCACACAGGAGAGACTCTGACTCACAAGACTAAGCACATTTTGCTAGAAAAAGAAAAATACAGAAACGTGAAGGGGAAATTGAGAGGTAAGCCCTTTGAGTATGCAGTGAGACATTTCACTACGTAAAAATATATCAAAAGCCCTGCTGGATTGAGAGGATGACCCAATTTTGGCTTGTCTTCTGCAATTTCATCCATTTACCCATGTTTCTGTGGAGAGACATTGCCTCCAGTCCGCCCTTCCCTGCCCTTTGCTATGAAGGTTGTAGGCAGAGTATCTTTTTTTTACCTTTACGCAGTGATAACTACATCCCACTCCTCCTCTCCATTCCACCAGATTTCCAGTATTAACCACTATCTTTATTCTCATGTCTTTGGGATTTAAGGGATCGGGAAGATTGCTACTGAAATTCAGGGGTTCCTGTAGTCCAGGCACGTCCAACTCCCAACAGACTGCAATCTACTCCCAGTATAAAAAACTGGCAGTGATCTACCCATAGTCACTGGGGGAATGAGGAGTGGGGTGCATGGGTGGAAGGAGGTGGCTAACTGGATGCAGGAGGGGGGAGTTTCAGTTGGGGGGGATTAAAGGGAGGCAAAACTTCTCTCTCTGAAGAGCCAGTCATCTCTCCACCCTCCCAAGCCAGTCCCCTCCCCCTTAAGCAGCTCTCTCCCCCCCAAAGCCAGCCCTTTCTCTCTCCTCCCCATCAAAGGGAGCTGCACAACTGACGCCTATCCCAGTAATCCCATGATCAGCCAGGATCACTCACATGATCTATTGGTCGATCCCGCTCGACCGGATGAACATGTCTGTTGTAGTCCATTATTATGATTAATTGAATTTGTTGGTCACTTTATCTTACCCAAAGAGACTTGCAACCAAACATTTAAGGGATTAGGACAAAAAAGTCATTAGGAATTCTGAACCTGAGAAATAAAGGGCATGTTCATGGAGGGAGAGCAGCTCCCTTTCCTGTGAGGAACCTCTTTATTTAAATTGCCAGTTTTAGAGAAGCACTGTATCTTAGATCATGCTGCATCATTAACAATAATTGATTATTATTAAAAGTTGATGCAATGCTATTATCTGACATTATTTCATTTCCTAAACAATTGGCACATAGAAGAAGGAAGAGTGTATGAGATGTTAAAATAAGAGAAGGTACCAAAGGCACTTGATATTCTTTTGTTTCTTCTTTGGAGATCCAGTGGGGTTAAGAGCAGTAGATTCGTAATCTGGTGAACTGGGTTTGATTCCCCGCTCCTCCACATGCAGCTGCTGGGTGACCTTGAACTAGTCACACTTCTTTGAAGTCTCTCAGCCTCACTCACCTCACAGACTGTTTGTTGTGGGGGAGGAAGGGAAAGGAGAATGTTAGCCGCTTTGAGACTCCTTAGGGTAGTGATAAAGCAGGATATCAAATCCAAACTCTTCTTCTCTTCTACAGGATTTCCTTTCCCCCTACGCCAATGCAAGCAATAGAGAGGACAGACAGAGCAATCTGTACTTTCATTAGGAATCACGAAAAAATCATTTAAATTTGTGGAACATACAATGTGATTCAGTCAGTGAACACACTTAGTTCACATCAAGGAACTGAAATAGTGGAGACACCATTTAAAGGTATGGATTGTGGAAAGGACATCAGTAGGAATGGAACTCCTACACAACATCAAGGAACTCACACAGAGGAGAAACCATTTAAATGTATGGAGTGTGGAAAATGCTTTGGTCGTACAGATTCGCTGAAAATGCATCAATGTACTCATACAGGAGAGAAATCATATAAATGTTTTGAGTGTAGAATATGCTTCAAAAAAAGTGGATGCCTCCGTATACATGAGCAAACTCACAGGGGTGAGAAACCATTTAAATGTATGGAGTGCGGAAAGAGCTTCCTTTTGAGTAAGCACCTTAATGCACATCATCGCACTCACACGGGTGAGAAACCATACAGATGTATGGAGTGCGGAAAGAGCTTCAGTCATAGTCAAACCCTTAGAATACACCAGCGAACTCACACAGGGGCAAGACCTTTTAAATGCATGGAGTGTGCAAAGAGCTTCAGTCAAAGCGGACAACTTAAAAACCATCAGCGAACTCACACAGGGCAGAAACCATTTAAATGCATAGAGTGTGGAAAGAGCTTCAGAGAGAGTGGAACGCTTAGAAGACATAATCAAATTCACACAGGGGAAAAACCATTTAAATGCACAGAGTGTGGAAAGACGTTCCGTGAAAGGGCAAAACTTTCCATACATCTACGAACTCACACAGACGAAAAACCATTTAGATGCATGGAGTGTGGAAAGAGCTTCAGAGAGAGTGGAACGCTTAGAAGACATAATCAAATTCACACAGGGGAAAAACCATTTAAATGCACAGAGTGTGGAAAGACGTTCCGTGAAAGGGCAAAACTTTCCATACATCTACGAACTCACACAGGCGAAAAACCATTTAGATGCATGGAGTGTGGAACATGCTTCCGTCATAGAGAATCGCTGAAAATGCATCAGTGTACTCATACAGGAGAGAAACCATATAAATGTTTTGAGTGTGGAAAATGCTTCATTCAGAGTTCTAATCTTAATGTACATCTACAAACTCATACAGGGGAGAAACCTTTTAAATGCATGGATTGTGGGAAAAGCTTCTCCAGTAGTACAACGCTTAGAAGACATCAGCAAACTCACATGGGAAAAACTATTTAAATGTATGTTTGGTTGCAGAATAAATCCAGGCATATCTGCAGGATATGGACCATTTAGACTGCATTTGTCCCAATTGGGTTTCAGGCCCTGCCATTGGACTGAGACCACCCTGGTGGCGCTGGTTGATTATCTCTGGCGAGCTAGGGATAGAGGTAAAAGCTGTTTCCTGGTTCTGCTGGATCTCTCAGTGGCTTTTTAAAAAATAAATAAAATTAATCACTTTTAATCACGTTTATAAATCAATATAACTAATTACATTTTCCCCACTCCCTCCCTCTCCCCCCTTCCAGAGACTTCCCTCAGCTCCCCTCTTTGATTTGTTTATACATATTATTCTCTGCATGTTATAAAATTGTACATATCATTGTACATTATCTATCATATGTTCTACTAATGAATTTGTGGATGTTTATTCAAAACCTGCCAAGGAGTCCAAATCCTTTTGTTGTCTTTTTAAATAGTTTGTAAATAGTTCCCATTCTTCCTTGAAATTACAATTGTCCTTCTCACACAGTTGGATGTAGAGGTTTAGCCTGAATGCTGTTTGAGCCAAGCAGATGCCTGCAAAGTTTGATTTCTGATCTTTGGAACAACGGGTGGGGAGGAATCCACTGGCTTCACGGTTGGGAGGAGACCATTTGTGCTGTCCATAAAGGGCATGATGATTAGGGCCCAATCTGGCATTGAGATCCCCTCCTAAAACTACAGATGCCTTTGGGTTAAGCAAAATAAGGTCAGTGGTATAAATTTCCCTTTCTTCTTTTTTTTATAAGATATTTATTAAGATTTTTTTGAAATATTGCAGTAAAAATGAAAAAGAAAAGAGAAAAATACAAAATAAAAACAGTTAAAAACACACATATTTTCTATTACTTATTTTCCTTTAGCTTATTTCCTGTACCTCCTCATACCTCCCTTTTTGTATTCCACTTCAATTTATTGGTTCAGCAAATCCTTACCATTAGATTTTAACCCATTTATAACCATTTTTTCATTGTCTCTTAGAGCATTACAGCTGGAAACCGCTTAATTACTATCCAACATCATTCTATCATTCATTAATTTTACAATATTTCTGTAGATAGTCTTTAAATTTCTTCCAATCTTCTTCCACCGACTCGTCTCCCTGGTCTGCCAGTCATTTCTGCCAATTCCATATAGTCCATCACCTTCATCTGCCATTCTTCCAAAGTGGGTAGATCTTGTGTCTTCCAATACTTTGCAGTGAGTATTCTTGCTGCTGTTGTAGCATACATAAAAAAAGTTCTGTTCTTCTTTGGCACCAATTGGCCGACAATGCCCAGGAGGAAGGCCTCTGGTTTCTTAGGGAAGGTATACTTAAATACCTTTTTTAATTCATTATATATCATTTCCCAGAAAGCCTTAATCCTTGGGCACGTCCACCAAAGGTGAAAGAATGTACCTTCAGTTTCTTTACATTTCCAGCATTTATTATTGGGCAAATGATAGATTTTTGCAAGCTTGACTGGGGTCATGCACCACCTGTATATCATTTTCATAATATTCTCTCTTAGGGCATTACATGCCGTAAACTTCATACCTGTGGTCCATAACTGTTCCCAGTCAGCAAACATAATATTATGTCCAACATCTTGTGCCCATTTAATCATAGCAGATTTCACCGTTTCATCCTGAGTATTCCATTTCAACAGCAAGTTATACATTCTTGACAAATTCTTAGTTTTGGGTTCTAACAGTTCTGTTTCTAGTTTTGATTTTTCCACCTGGAAACCAATTTTCTTATCCAAATTATATGCCTCCATTATCTGATAATAATGAAGCCAATCTCTCACTTTGTTTTTAATTTCTCGAAACTCTGCAATTTCAATTTGTCTCCTTCTTGTTCCAAAATTTCCCAATATTTCGGCCATTTGGCCTCCATATTGAGCCTTTTCAGAGCTTTCGCTTCCATCGGTGACAACCACCTTGGGGTTTTATTTTCCAATAAATCCTTGTATCTTATCCAAACATTAAACAGTGCTTTCCTGACAATGTGATTTTTAAATGCTTTATGTGCTTTGACCTTATCATACCATAAATATGCATACCATCCAAATACGTTGTTAAAACCTTCTAAATCCAAAATGTCTGTATTTTCAAGAAGTAGCCATTCTTTCAACCAGCAAAAAGCTGCTGATTCATAATAAAGTTTAAAGTCTGGCAGGGCAAATCCACCTCTTTCCTTTGCATCAATTAATATCTTAAATTTTATTCTGGGCTTCTTGCCCTGCCAGACAAATCTAGAAGTATCTCTCTGCCACTTCTTGAAACAGTCCATCTTGTCCACAATTTGCAATGTCTGAAACAAAAACAACATTCTAGGCAATACATTCATTTTTATCACAGCAATACGACCCAACAGTGAAAGCTTCAAATTTGACCAGATTTCTAAATCTTTTTTCACTTCCATCCAACATTTTTCATAATTATCTTTAAATAAGTTCCCATTTTTGGCTGTCATATTAATCCCCAGGTATTTCACTTTCTTAACCACAGTCAGGCCTGTCTCATTCTGAAACCTCTCTCTTTCAATCGGTGTTAAATTTTTCTCTAAAACCTTAGTTTTTAGCTTGTTCAGTTTAAATCCTGCCACTTGACCAAATTCTTGAATTAATTCTAAAACCCTTTTAGTACTAGATTCTGGCTCCTGTAACGTCAATACTAAGTCATCTGCAAATGCTCTCAGTTTGTACTGTTTGGCTCCGACCTGTATACCTTTAACCAACCGGTCCCTTCTAATCATATTCAGCAGAACCTCCAGGACCGATATAAAAAGCAGTGGGGAGATTGGGCACCCCTGTCGTGTCCCTTTTTCTATCTTAAATCCTTCCGTCACCACATTATTTACAATTAATTTAGCCTTTTGTTCAGAGTATATTGCACCTATACCATTTTCAAAACCTTGGCCTACCCCCATCCCCTGTAGGTTCTTCTTCATGAAGCTCCAAGAGATATTGTCAAAAGCTTTCTCCGCATCCACAAATATCAGAACTGCTTTAGTGTTTATATTCACTTCTAGTTTTTCCAAAATATCAATTATATTCCTCAAATTATCAGACAAGTGTCTTCCCGGAGAAAGCCCGCTTGGTCTTTATGAATCTCTTCCATCAATACTTTTTTCAATCTCTTGGCCAAAATGTCTGCAAAAATTTTGTAATCCACATTAAGTAATGATATAGAGCGGTAGTTCTTAAGCTGAGTCTTTTCAGTCTCTGTTTTCGGTATAAGTGTAATGTACGCCTCTTTCCACGACTCTGGTGCCCTTTTCCCTTCCAAAATTTCATTGCAGACTTCCTTCAAAGGTTGCAATAGCCACTCTTTCAAGAATCTATAATATCTAGAAGTCAGCCCATCCGGTCCTGGAGATTTGCCCAATTGCATGTTTTGAATGGCACCTTCCACTTCCTGTTCAGATATTTTATAGTTCAGCATTAATTTACTTTCTTGAGAGATTTTTTGTAATCCATTTGTCTTCAAGAATCGGTCTATGTCCATTTCTTTCTGTGGCCCTTGCGTGTATAATTGTTTAAAGTACCTCTGGAAACAGTTTCTAATCTCAATTGGGTTGTGTTTAGTCTTTCCTTCCACTTCTAAGTTTGTAATAGTATTTAATTTTTGTCTTTTTTTCATTTGCCAGGCCAACAATTTCCCACATTTATTAGCTGATTCAAATGTTTTTTGTCTCATTTGTTTAATTTTCCATTCTATTTCCTGATTCATCATTTTCATGTATTGTACTTGATATAATTTTATTTCTCTCAGAATTTCCTGCGACTTTGGTTTTGCTCTCAATTTCTTCTCACTTTCTTTTATTTTCTCCAAAATTTTATCTTTCTTCTCATTCTGACTTCTCTTCTTTATTGCATTCTGTTGTATCACAAACCCTCTCATGACCGCTTTGCTTGCGTCCCAGATTACTCTTTTTTTCTACATTGGTGTTCATATTTATTTCAAAATAGTCTCTCAAAGTTTTTTGGGCCTTTTTATATACTTCTTCATCTCTAAATAAGGTGTCATTCATCCTCCATCTGAAGGATCCGGTTGATATTTGTTTCATCTCCATCCTTACAGCGTTATGGTCGGAGCAGGTTTTTGTTGGGATACTGCCAGGGAGATAAAGTCCATCAAGGCCCCCAAGCCGTCTGCCGGACGATCCATCGACCTCCCGTAGGCACGCAGCGACATGAGTTTCTAGAAAATATCTTGCCACATTCCAGAGCTCATGCACGCTCTATCAGCAGATAATGCACAGCCAAAAGTTGCACTCAGGAGAGCATTATTTACAAGTTTATTCAGCGTTGATCAGAACACAGAAAAACATGACTGCCTGCTTTAGTGCCTGCGACACAGAGAGAAAACGAAAGCAACAGAAAACATAAACATCCTGTGAACAGGAAATACGCAGACTTTGAGTCACAAAGCCTGCTCCCTTTTAAGGTGGAACGGAAATATCCTAACAGTTTTTGGGCAGATTTCTACTTTCTTTATCTTTGGTGCCATTCCTCTAGTTATCCATATTTGGTCAATTCTAGTCCATGTCATCTTGGCTTCAGAAAAGAAGGTTCCCTCTCTTCCCAAGGGGTTCTTTACTCTCCAGATATCCACTAAGTCTATATTATCTGTCATCTCAAAAAATGTTTTCGGTAGTCTACCATCCTTGGTAACTACCTGTCTTTGTGCCTTATCCATGTTTGTAGATACTACTCCATTCATGTCCCCCATCAAAATCAAATTGTAATCCAAATAGTCCAGTAAAGTCTGGTGCAGCTTTTTAAAGAATTCAGATTTCCCCTCATTCGGTGCATAAATTCCTACTATCAAGAATTTCTCTCCTTGAACTTGAATTTCAATTGCCAAAAATCTTCCTTGGTCATCTTTAAAAATTAATTTCGGTGATAGTCTCTCCTTTGCATATATCACAACTCCTCTTTTTAACTTTGTCAGATGAGATAAACTCCTGTCCCAATCTTTTATTAATCAGTAGTTTCCTGTGTAGCCTTGTTATATGTGTTTCTTGTAAACAAATCAATTCCAATTGTTCCTTTTTTAGTAGATGAAAAACACTTTTTCTCTTTCGAGGGGAGTTCAAACCATTACAATTCCAGCTTAACAGTTGCAGAGCCATGATGGGGTTACTTCACTTTACCTCCAACTGCACCAAGTGTCTGTTCTTGTTCTGTAGATGGTGTCTCTTTCTCTGGGCCGTGCAATCCAAAAGATAAGTTTGCTATGTCTAGTATGCCTTTTGGTATAAATTTCCCTTTCAACCCACAAGTTTCTGATCTGAGATTTCTGCCTCATTGGGGTCACATCAGCGTTAATTACCAACAGGGCCTGGTGGCTGAATTGAATTAACACTGCCCTGACTTATGACTTGAATGAGGGGGAGGGCTTGAAATGGAATGTAGGGTAGTGGAGACTAAGACCCCCAGGCCCCCTTTCTCTCTTCCACGCTTTACCCCTAGATCTGCCCCAGTTGAGAATGAATGAAATCCGTTGAGTAACAGCTCATCCGCTGTCCATGTTTCCTGGATCATTATGACGCAATGGTGGGAGAGAAAGTCTTTAAAACAAGGATCTCTGTGGATGCAGACCACCCGGCCACATTCCAGGATAAAAGCTAGGTCATGCAGTTGCATTGTGGGTAATTTTTGCAGGAGTAAGAGCTTCGCATTGGTTTGAGATGCTTGTAACTGCGTCTCCTTCTGTGACGAGGGAGAAGGTGCTGTACCATCATGTTCCTGCTCCTCTTTCTCTGACATCTGTTCTAGCGAGGAGACTGGGAGAATCAGTGCAGCGTGGTCAGCAATATGTGAATTCCAGGCAAGCAGGGCTGCCATTTCTTCAGCAGGGGAGACTTCCTTTCACTTGTCCGAGGAGAGGAGAGGGGAACTGTTTCTCCTGCGAATCCAGTTCCCTCAGGGCCAGGTGGGACTTCTGAGATGGGGAAGCACATGGGGCTCTGTTTCCAGGTTGGGGTTGTAAAGATTCCTTGTATACTACTGGTATTCAAGGAATATTCAGAAGAGTCACTCTCTGCATGACTTCCACTATTGTTAGGAAAGTACTAGGGTGATCCTGCTGGGAGTACAAGATTCCCGATGGCTTCACTCACAAGGGTCATAGGAATGTGCAGGCCCACTCACCACAACAAGGTGTTGATCCAGCAAGTGAGAAGTACCGTATTTTTCGCTCTATTGGACGCACCGGACCACAGGACGCACCTAGTTTTATAGGGGGAAATCAAGGGAAAAAAATTATTCCCCCCCCCAAGCCCCAAAGATCAACGGACAGGCTTCGCACAGCCTGTCCGCTTCTCCCAGAGCTTCTCGGGGCTGCGGGGGAAGCCCGGGTCCCCCCCCCAAGCCCCAAAGAGCAAAGAAGCCAAGACAGTGAGCGGGATCCATAGCCGCTCAACCTCTCCAGCCAGGAGCTAAACCTCTCCAGCACGGCTAAAGAAGAAGGCAAGGCAGCAAGCGCGATCCATCCCGCTCGCTGCCTTGGCTTCCTCTTTAGCCTTGTGCAGCGGGATGGATCGCACCCGCTGTCCACCGGGGCTGGACTAAATGACTCCTGGGGTTCCCTTCCAACCCTGCAATTCTGTGACCTCGGAAGGTGTTGGGGGTCTCCACCACTGGAGGCTTTTAAACAGCGGTTGGGGGACCATCTGCCTGGCGTTCTTTAGCTGTGATTCCTATATTGTGAGGGGGCTGGGCTAGATGACCCTCGGGTGGCCCTCCCAACTCTATACAGTCCTACAGTTCTGCAGCAGGAGATCCACAGCCACTTCACACAATGCCCACTCCCAATTTTCATTGGAGAGACATGTGGCTTCAGTGTCTAGGTAGGTACCCCCCTACCTGCCACACTTCCCCCACCCCACTTAAGCTGAGGGAATTCCTGCCCAGAGAATCTCCCAGGTGAGGCAAGGGTTAAGATCTACCTCTGGTGGATCACGCTCCCTGCCCTGGCTTCCTCTTTAGCCTTGCGCAGCCTCCCGCGGCTTTTCCTGCCTGCCTCCCCGCTGCATTCGCTCCATAGGATGCACAGACTTTCCCCCTTAGTTTTTAAGATGGAAAAAGTGCATCCTATGGTGCGAAAAGTACGGTATATTTTTGCTAATTAACCCAGGGTCAAATACAACCTATACATCATTTTCATGTAGTTTTCCTTCAGTAAAGTACATGCAGAAAATTTCAAAACAACAACAACAACAACAATAAAAATAATTTGTTATTTATACCCCGCTCATCTGGCTGGGTTTCCCCATCCACTCTGTGTGGCTTCCAACAGAATATTAAAATACAATAATAATACAATCTATTAAACATTAAGGGACGCTGTGGGTAAAAAATCAGTGCCTAGGACTTGCTGATCGTAAGGTCGGCGGTTCAAATCCCCGCGACGGGGTGAGCTCCCGTCATTCGCTCCCAGCTCCTGCCCACCTAGCAGTTTGAAAGCACCCCTAAGTGCAAGTAGATAAATAGGGACCACTTACCTAGCGAGAAGGTAAACAGCGTTTCCGTGTGCGGTGCTGGTGCTGGCTCACCAGTGCAGCTTCGTCACGCTGGCCACGTGACCTGGAAGTGTCTTTGGACAGCGCCGGCTCCCGGGTCTAGAGCGAGATGAGCGCGCAACCCTAGAGTCGGTCACAACTGGCCCGTACGGGCAGGGGTACCTTTACCTTTACCTTTATTAAACATTAAAAGCTTCCCTAAACAGGGCTGCCTTCAGATGTCTTCTAAAAGTCTGGTGGTAGTTTTTCTCTTTGACATCTGGTGGGAGAGCATTCCACAGGGCAGGAGCCACTACCGAGAAGGCCCTATGCCTGGTTCCCTGTAACTTGGCTTCTCGCAGGGAGGGAACTGCCAGAAGGACACTGGACCTCAGTGTCTGGGCAGAATGATGGGGGGTGGAGACGCTCCTTCAGGTATACTGGGCCGAGGCCGTTTAGGGCTTTCAAGGTCAGCACCAACACTTTGAATTGTGTTCGGAAACGTACTGGGAGCCAGTGTAGGTCTTTCAAGACCGGTGTTCTGTGGTCTCGGCATTCTAACTTCCAAATCTAACTTCCAAAGCCTTTCCCAGTCCGTCATTCATATATTATGTCCCACATCCTTCGCCCATTTTATCATAACGCAATTTACCTGCTCCTCTTTAGTGTTCCATTGCAAAAGCAGATCGTTCATTTTTGACAGCAGTTTTGTACTACCTTCTACTATTTCTCTCTGAAATCTTGACACTTGATAACTAAATCGTTTCTTTTCATGATTTTTAAAAGTTTCATTTAGTTGTAAATATTGTAAGCAGTCTATTACATTTTCTCTTACTTCTTCAAAGTCCTTTAATTTTAATTGATTGTCAGTTTCTGTTAACAGCTCTTTATATGTCGGCCAATTTATCTTCATATTTACTTTTCTCAAAGATACTGCTTCTAATGGGGAAAGTCACCATGCTGTTTTCTTTTGAAATAAATCTTTATATTTCCCTCCAAACTTGTAAGAATCGAGTTTCTTTTTATGACTATGAAAACTTTTATGAACTTTTGCCTTATGATACCATAGATAAGCATGCCTGGCATTGCAGTCTTCAGGCTGGGACAAGATGGTGACTGGTTTTTCCACCAAGTTCTTTCCATAAGCCCCACTGAGTTCAATGGGGTCTACTCTCAGGTCTCAACTGTGCAGACCATGCCGGCCTTACGAAGTGGGGAGAGGAGTAAACAGAGGAAATTGGAACCACTGGAAATGTTTATAAATGGGGTTTCTGTTGGGAAGGGGCTGCCCCATTTGTGCTTTTCCAGGGGCAGGAGAATCCAGTGAGAGCCAGTGTGGTGTAGTGGTTAAGAGCGGTAGACTCGTAATCTGGTGAACCGGGTTCGCGTGTCCGCTCCTCCACATGCAGCTGCTGGGTGACCTCAGGCTAGTCACATTTCTCTGAAGTCTCTCAGCCCCACTCACCTCACAGAGTGTTTGTTGTGGGGGAGGAAGGCAAGGAGAATGTTAGCCGCTTTGAGACTCCTTCGGGTAGTGATAAAGCGGGATATCAAATCCAAACTCTTCATCTTCTCTTCTTCTTCCCTGCAGGGTCTTTGAGGCTCCCTTTGCTTCTTCCTCTCTCCCAGGACCCTGCAGCTTGTTTTGGCTCCTTGACTCTTCAGGAAGGATGAAAGAGATGGATCCTGCAAAGCTAGCGAGGATGAAAGGGGGAAGATGGACGGTTGACCTGGTCAGGTTGTCTCCTGCATCCCTCCTCACAACCTCTGAGCGTTTCTCTCTAGGGCTCTCAGAGAGATCTGGTGAGTTCCAGGGGAGGGGAGATGGGGACATGGAGGGATGGAGCCAGAGAGGTATTGGGGCTTGCTCAACCTGGGGGTGGGGGGAGGCAGACAGGCAGGCGGAGATTGAGAAGGAGAGCACCTTTTTGGGCTCCACCACCTGCCAGCCTGCGCCTTTGTCGTCTGCAGGGAATTTGAGCTAGGAATACATCACAGCTCCCCGGCCACCACGATGTATTGGCAGCTCAAAAGGTCTAATACCAGTGCTGTGATCTGAATACCCTACCAATGTCAAAAAACTTACCGCTCTATCACACAGCAGTAGAAGCAACGACTCTTTAAAGTAATGTGATGCTGCTTTGCAGTTTGAATGCAGATGGGGCCTATGCTTTGTGTCGCCCTTTTCTTTTCTTTTTGGAATAACTTTTTATTTCCTTTTAAAAACAAGGAACATATGCATAATAAATGACACAAACATGTAGACCAGGTCGTCTCATGTCATTTGTATATCTCAAAACTAGCAGAATAAATTTGCAGGAATGGCTATAACATATGGTTCATCATTAATGGTCAGTGTATGAGTTCTGGGTTCATGAATTGGTTTAAACTGGAAAACAAAAATGGGAAGCAGAGAACAGAGAGCATTCAACATCACATAGCTGGTTGTCTATTCAGGAGCTCTTCGTGGATGTTGTACTTAGATTAAGATTAAGGAGAGCCAGTGTGGCGCAGTGGTTAAGAGCGGTGGACTCGTAATCTGGTGAACCGGGTTCGCATGTCCGCTCCTCCACATGCAGCTGCTATTAATGTTAGTTTCTGAGGTAAAACGTGTCATTTTACAACTGTGCACCTGTCTTTCTGGATTTTGTGGGCCCCAAACCCATTTTCTGTGGTATTTATATGTGTGGAGGTTGTCCCGGGTTGTTTGACCCTTGAGAAACATAGCTTTTTTTCTCTCCTAGAAAAGACTCCACAAGATTCTCTGTTTAGAGTTTAAACGGAACACATTACATTACTTGATATACTAAAAGACGTTTACATTTGCTTATATCTAATATATCTATATCTATTCTTTATTGATTTAGATTATTTCTACGTTTATCCCATTCGTTATTCAAGACAATAAGCTACACTCAAAAATCCAAAATAATTCAACATCAAATAATTCTGCTACATTAGGTATGAAGAGGGAATTACAAGTGCTTCTATCTATATGAGACTTTACAGACTTTTCTGAGGCACATAGCAGCATAAAACAGGCAGCAGGTGCTCTCACAGAAAACCTCTCTCTCACTCGACAGTTGAGAACAGACCTAACTGAAAAAACGGCCTTCTGGAGTGACAGTCACCCTTTCCATAGCACCTTGGAGGCAACATTCACACACAGAGTTGTTAGCGAAGTTGAGGTAATTTCTGTCAGGTTTGGGTTTCTGTTTTAGCCTCTGCCCGTTTTTTAAAGAGAAGACCAATGTTACGAGTTGGAGTGGATTTCATGATTGTGGCAACAAAAATCCGTCCTAGAAAACAGCCAGACTTTCTGAACCTCTGCTTCTTAAAAATACTCTGTGAATGCTGGTCGACAAAGACCATGACCTCTGTAGAAAGACCTCACATCTTCTGTTCCTCCTCTTTGACAAATTTGCATTAGCATTGTTCAATAATTGGGGGGTCCATTTCTTCCTGAGGATCTAATTAGTTTCTGTCTTTGTTGTTGTTGTTTTTTTAAATAATTTTTATTAAAGTTTTGAACAACAATGAAAGAAAAGAAAAACATACACAATACATATAACAAAAACACAAAAAAAGCAAGATTCAACAATAAAAGAACAAAAAACAAAACAATTATCTCTTTTCCATTTCCGTTTTTTAGTTACTTATTTTCTGGACTTCCTCATACCTCCCTCTTTTGTATTCCAATCCAAATTGTTTGTCCAGCAATTTCTTTTCCACTTTTTTAATCCCAATCTTTAGCTTTAATAAGATATTGAAATATATAACTTCAACTTCTTTAAACCTGATCTTTGGTCTTAGTATCATATAACGTTAAAATTTTTCCTCTTAATGTCAAATTTCCATTTCTGTAAACATCTTTAATCCTAATCTTTAATCTGAGTCAATCATTAACTTTAACCTGTACAGCTGGAAACCGCTTATTTTCAGTCCAACATCACTCTAACATTCTTTAATTTTGCAATGTTTCTGAAGATAGTCTTTAAATTTCTTCCAATCTTCCTCCATCGACTCTTCTCCCTGGTCACGGATTCTACCAGTCATTTCTGCCAATTCCATATAATCCATAAGTTTCATCTGCCATTCCTCCAGTGTGGGAAGTTCTTGTGTCTTCCAATACTTTGCGATGAGTATTCTTGCTGCTGTTGTTGCATACATAAAGAAAGTTCTATCCTTTTTTAACACCATTTGGCCGACTATGCCCAGGAGAAAGGCCTCTGGTTTCTTAGGGAAGGTATACTTAAACACCTTTTTAAATTCATTATATATCATTTCCCAGAAAGCCTTAATCTTTGGGCACGTCCACCAAAGGTGAAAAAATGTACCTTCAGTTTCTTTACATTTCCAACATTTGTTATCGGGCAAGTGATAGATTTTTGCAAGCTTGACTGGGGTTATGTACCACCTGTATATCATTTTCATAATATTCTCTCTTAAGGCATTACATGCCGTAAATTTCATACCTGTGGTCCATAACTGTTCCCAGTCAGCAAACATAATATTATGTCCAACGTCCTGTGCCCATTTAATCATAGCCGGTTTTACCGTTTCATCCTGAGTATTCCATTTCAGCAGCAAGTTGTACATTCTTGACAAATTCTTAGTTTTGGGTTCTAACAATTCTGTTTCTAATTTGGATCTTTCCACCTGGAAGCCAATTTTCCTGTCCAATTTAAATGCCTCCATTATCTGATAATAATGAAGCCAGTCTCGCACTTTGTTTTTTTAGTTTTTGAAAACTCTGCAATTTCAGTCTATCTCCGTCTTGTTCCAAAATTTCCCAATATTTCGGCCATTTGACCTCCATATTGACCTTTTTCAAGGCTTTCGCTTCCATTGGTGACAGCCACCTTGGGGTTTTGTTTTCTAGCAAATCCTTATATCTTAACCAAACATTAAATAGCGCTTTCCTGACAATGTGGTTTCTAAATGCTTTATGTGCTTTGACCTTATCATACCATAGATATGCATGCCATCCAAATACATTATTAAAACCTTCCAAGTCCAAAATGTCAGTGTTTTCAAGAAGTAGCCATTCTTTCCACCAGCAAAAGGCTGCTGATTCATAGTAAAGTTTGAGGTCTGGCAGGGCAAATCCACCTCTTTCCTTTGCATCTGTTAGTATTTTAAATTTTATTCTAGGCTTCTTGCCCTGCCAGACAAATTTAGAAATATCTTTCTGCCACCTCTTGAAACAATCCATTTTGTCCACAATCTGCAAAGTTTGGAACAAAAACAACATTCTAGGCAATACATTCATTTTTATCGCAGCAATACGGCCCAGCAGTGAAAGCTTCAAATTTGACCAAATTTCTAAATCTTTTTTCACTTCAGCCCAGCATTTTTCATAGTTATCTTTAAATAAGTTCCCATTTTTTGCTGTCATGTTAATCCCCAAATATTTAACTTTCTTAACCACTGTTAAACCTGTCTCATTCTGAAACCTCTCTCTTTCAAACGGTGTTAAATTTTTCTCTAAAACCTTGGTTTTTGACTTATTCAATTTAAATCCTGCCACTTGACCAAATTCTTGAATCAGTTCTAAAACCCTTTTAGTACTAGATTCTGGCTCCTGTAATGTCAATACTAAGTCATCTGCAAATGCTCTCAATTTGTACTGTTTAGTTCCGACCTGTATACCTTTAACTGACTGGTCCCTTCTAATCATATTCAGCAAAACCTCCAGGACCGAAATAAAAAGCAGTGGGGAAATTGGGCAACCTTGTTGTGTCCCTTTTTCAATTTTAAGTTCTTCCGTCACAACATTATTTACAATTAGTTTAGCCTTTTGTTCTGAATAAATTGCACTTATACCATTCTCAAAACCTTGGCCTACCCCCATACCCTGTAGATTCTTCTTCATAAAATTCCAAGAAATATTGTCAAAGGCTTTCTCCGCGTCTACAAATATCAACACTGCTTTAGTGTTTATATTCACTTCTAATTTTTCCAAGATATCAATTATATTCCTCAAATTGTCAGACAAATGTCTTCCTGGGAGAAAGCCCGCTTGGTCTTTGTGAATCTCTTCCATCAACACTTTTTAAAATCTCTTCGCCAAAATATCTGCAAAAATTTTGTAATCCACATTAAGTAATGATATAGGGTGGTAGTTCTTAAGCTGTGTCTTTTCAGTCTCTGTTTTTGGTACAAGTGTAATATATGCTTCTTTCCACGACTCTGGTGCTCTCTTCCCCTCCATTATTTCGTTGCAGACCTCTTTCAATGGTTGAATTAACCATTCTTTTAAAGATCTGTAGTATCTAGAGGTCAAGCCATCTGGTCTTGGAGATTTACCCAATTGCATGTTTTGAATGGCACCTTCTATTTCCTGTTCGGTTATTCTGTAATTCAAAATTAGTTTATTTTCTTGAGATATTTTTTGTAATCCATTTGTCTTCAAAAATTGGTCTAGATCTATTTCTTTCAATGGCCCTTGAGTATATATTCGTTTAAAGTACCTCTGGAAATAACTTCTGATCTCTGCAGGGTTCTGTATATTTCTTCCTTCCACTTCTAAGTTCGTAATCGTATTTAGTTTTTGTCTCTTTTTCATTTGCCATGCCAACAATTTGCCACATTTATTGGCCGACTCAAAAGTCTTTTGTCTCATTTGTTTAATTTTCCATTCTATTTCCTGATTCATCATTTTCATATATTGTACTTGATATAACTTTAACTCTCTCAAAATCTCTTGAGATTTGGGGTTTACTCTCAGTCTTTTTCACATTCCTTTATTTTGTCCATTATTTTACCCTTCTTCTCATTTTGAGTTCTTTTCTTTATTGCATTCTGTTGTATTAAGAACCCTCTCATAACCGCTTTACTTGCGTCCCAGATTACTCTTTTCTCCACGTTGGTACTGAGGTTTATCTCGAAGTAATCTCTCAGAGTTTTTTGGGCCTTCTTAAGAAATTCTTCATCTCTAAATAAGGTGTCATTCATCTTCCATCTGAAGGAGCCAGTTGGTGTTAATCTCATTTCCATCTTAACAGCATTATGGTCGGAGCAAATTTTCGGGCAGATTTCCACCTTTCTGGTCTTTGGTGCCATTCCTCTAGTTATCCAAATTTGATCAATTCTTGTCCATGTCATTTTGGCTTCAGAAAAGAAAGTTCCCTCTTTAGCCATGGGATTTCTTGTTCTCCAAATGTCCACTAAATCCAAGTTGTCTGTCATGTCAAAAAAAGTTTTCGGTAGTCTACCATCCTTGGTGACTACCTGTCTTTGTGTCTTGTCCATATATGTAGATACCACTCCATTCATATCTCCCATCAAAATCATGTTATAATCCATATGGTCCATCAGGGTCTCGTGCAACTTCTTAAAAAATCAGATTTCCCGTCATTTGGTGCATAGATTCCTACTATCAAAAATTTTTCTCCTTGTGTTTGAATTTCAATTGCCACAAATCTTCCTTGGTCATCTTTAAAAACAAATTTCGGTGATAATCTGTCTTTTGCATAAATCACAACCCCTCTTTCTTTAACTTTGTCCAATGAAATAAACTCCTGACCAAGTCTTTTATTTATCAACAATTTCCTGTGTAATCTTGTTATATGTGTTTCTTGTAAACAAATTAAGTCCAATTGTTCCTTTTTTAATATATGAAATACTGATTTCCTTTTCTGAGGGGAATTCAAGCCCCGACAGTTCCATGTTAGAAGTTGCAGGGCCATGATGTTATTGTTTTAATTCTCCTCCTACTGCACCTAGTGCCTGTTCCTCATCCGTCGGTGGTATCACTTTTTCGAACGGTCTTTTGGTTCCGGAGATAGTTCTTTTGTAGGTCTTCTCCGTGGTCTCTCCAAAATTTGTCTTTGTCGTCTTCCGATCTTATTTTCCTCTTCTTTCCTTTGTAGCTAAAAGATAGGCCTTGAGGGAGTTCCCACCTAAAGTTGATACTGTTCCTTCTCAGCAGGGTAACCAAGTCTTTATAGTTTGATCTGAGATCCAGAAGGTATTTCGGAATGTCTTTAAATATTTCAACCCTTGTCCGTTGGATTTCCAGTGTCTTCTGGAAATGCAAACCCAAAATCTTATCCCTCTCTTCTTTTGTTCGAAAAGTAATCAAACAGTCTCTCACCTTCTTCTCTCCTCTTTTCCCAAGTCTAAAAGCATTTACTATTTTAAAACTGTCTTTTACCAATTCTGGATCCCAAAAGTCCAAAAATTCCTGCGTGAGAAATTCAGCTAGATTGTCCTTTTCCACTTCAGGTACCGATCTGACCCGTAAATTCACTTGTTTTTCCTTCAATTCAATCATAGACAGGGTCAATTTATGGTCTTCCAATTGTTTGTGCAATGATGGTATTGTCTCTTGAACCTCTTTAACCTCTGTAGCAGAAGTTGTAGCAATTTCTTTGGCCTCCTCAGCAATCTGGCGTATTGAGGCCGATTCCTCTAATAATTTCTGAATAGTCTCTGTATTAGTATTTACTTTCTGGCCCAAATTGTTTATACTTGCTGTATTCTGATTAATACTTGTTGTATTTTGATTAATACTTATTGTATTTTGATCAATCTTGTCACATGCCTCTGCTACTTGTTGACTTATTCTATTTAAAGATTCATTGACCTTAGCCAAAACTTGAGCAAAGGCATCATCACTTGTCATACGTTTTACTTTTGATTGTGCCGATGAGGCTGTTGTTGAGACTCCAGAGGCGCCTGAGGTCGAAAATCTCCTTTGTAATCCTTCTGTTCGAAGAACCTTGCCCGACCTTGTAGCCGATGCTTCCGTTTTCTCTTTACCATCTGCCATTCCTTTAGATATTGCTCAAGGTCAGTCACACAGTTAAATTCAAACAGTGGAAATTTCCAGCAGAGCTGTGTGAGAATTCCTCAAGCCAGCTACAGTTTCAATTATAACAAATTGTAACAATTCCAAGTTCCACTAGGGGGACACTGTAACAGTCATAAGAGTTCTTAGATACTTTACTTTCTTTTTTAAGTCCCCCCAGTTTATTTAGGAAGATAACAGTGTATATAAAGTAATAACTTAAGACCAGGAGATATATGTCCACATAATATGTCCAAATTTTTATTTCCTGTGCAGGACTAGCTGTCAAAGTATATTTCAAGACAGTACCTCTCTTCCTTTTTTAAGTTGCCTCTGGAGATCCTTTCCCAGGGAATTGAGCGATGGTTTAATCCCTTTTATTTCCACTTCTTTATGAAGAAATCACATCCACAATTCTCCCCCCTTTTCCCTCAATTTAAGGGGGGGGGGAAATCCAGGTTAGATGATTGGATTAAAGTCCGCTAATACGTGCTTTTCCTAAGCTTCCGCTTTCAAGTTCAATGCTTTATTTTATCTACAAATAGGAAGAGGCAGACTTCCTTTTTGTGCCTCTTTCCGTTTTCGGCCAGATTCACAATTTATACAGTTCCAATTACGTTGTATCCTACTCACGGATCGTTGATTTTCAAGTCCCAATTCAAAGGAAAAAAGGCAGCGCTCTCCGGTCAACAGCTTGCGGCTTCACACCACGAAAGAAGCAGACAGCCCACAGCACAGCGCTCCTTCCCCCGCTCCGATTCCGAGCCCGTTGCCGGGCTTTTTACCGGGTTGGGGGGGGCGCCAAATGTGCCCGCTGGGTCCCAGGTTCACAGGCTTCCCCCGCCTGTGATTTTTAAGGGTCCCCCGCTGCGCCGAAGCGGGATTCGACCCAGGTTTTCGTGGCGAGATTTCCTCCGATCGAGGAAATCCGCCATTAACCGCTGGCGCCACCTCCGGAAGTCCTAGAAAAGAGGTCGACAAATGCTGGTCGACAAAGGCCACGACCTCTGTAGAAAGACCTCACATCTTCTGTTCCTCCTCTTTGACAAATTTTCATTAGCATTGTTCCATAATTGGGGGCTCCGTTTCTTCCTGAGGATCTAATTAGTTTCTGTCTTTGTTGTAGGTGGTGATGAATTGGAAATGAAGAATGGGGGAGACCATGACAAAATCCACACAGTGGAAAAGCCATATCAAAATTGGGGGTATGGAGAGAGCTCCAGTCAGAGTTCCCGTTCCCACCAAAGAGCTCAAAGCGGGAAGAAAGGCTATCAGTGCTCAGAATGTGGGAAGAGCTTCAGTCGGAAGGACAGTCTCACTTTGCATCAAAGAATTCATACAGGGGAGAAACCCCATCAGTGCTTGGAATGTGGAAAGAGGTTTTGTCAGAGTGGGGCTCTCACTTCCCACAAAAGAATTCATACAGGGGAGAAACCCTATCAGTGCTTGGAATGTGGGAAGAGCTTCAGTCAGAGGAGCAGTCTCGCTTCCCATCAAAGAATTCATACAGGGGTGAAACCCCATCAGTGCTTGGAATGTGGAAAGAACTTCAGTCACAGCCACAATCTCGCTTCCCATCAAAGAATCCATACAGGGGAGAAACCGTATCAGTGCTTGGAATGTGGAAAGAATTTTCGTCTGAGTGGGGATCTCACTTCCCATCAAAGAATTCATACAGGGGTGAAACCCTATCAGTGCTTGGAATGTGGAAAGCGCTTCAGTAACAGCAGCAGTCTCACTTCCCATCACAGAATTCATACAGGGGAGAAACCCTATCAATGCTTGGAATGTGGAAAGAGCTTCAGTAGGAGCACCCATCTCACTTCCCATGAAAGAATTCATACAGGGGAGAAACCCTATCAGTGCTTTGAATGTGGAAAGAGCTTCAGTCAGAGCAGCAGTCTCACTTCCCATCACAGAATTCATACAGGGGAGAAACCATATCAGTGCTTGGAATGTGGGAAGAGCTTCAGAAAGAGGGCAGGTCTCAACCGCCATCAAAGAACTCATACAGTGGTACCTTAGGTTAAGAACTTAATTTGTTCTGAAGGTCCATTCTTAACCTGAAACTGTTGTTAACCTGAAGCACCACTTTAGCTAACGGGGCCTCACGCTGCTGCCTCGTGATTTCTGTTCTCACCCTGAAGCAAAGTTCTTAACCCGTGGTATTATTTCTGGGTTAGCGGAGTGTGTAACCTGAAGCGTCTGTAACCTGAAGTACCACTGTACTGAAGCATATTAGAAATGTGGAAACAGCTTCTCTTCCAAGAGGCATCTAGCTTCCCTTGAAGAAATTCATGTGATTGAGCTGGTGGTTGCTGAAGAACTCCAGGCATGCCTGGAGGGTGGGGACCATTTGGATCCCTTCCAATCGGGAATCAGGCCTCATATTGGGACTGAAACTGCCTTGGTTGTGCTGGTCCATGATCTCCGGCGCTCTAGGGACAACTGTGAAAGCTGTTTCCTGGTTCTGCCGGAGCTCTCAGTGGCCTTTGATACCATTGACCACGACATCATTCTGGACCGTCTAGAGGAGCTGGGAGCTGAGGGTTATACAGTGGTTCCACTCCTTCCTCCTGGGCCATGTTCAGAAAGTGGTGGTGGGGGATCATTGTTCAGACCCCTGGGCTCTCACTTGTGGGGTGCCTCAGGGTTCCATCCTCTCCCCCATGCTTTTTAACATCTACATGAAGCTGCTGGGAGAGATCATCAGAGGGTTTGGGCTGAGTGTTCATCAGTATGCGGATGATATCCTGCTCTAACTCTCTTTTAAATCGGAATCAGTGAAAGCGCTGAAGGTCCTGTGTGAGTGTCTGGAGGCGGTTGGAGGATGGATGGCAGGTGACTGATTGAGGCTGAATCCTGACAAGACAGAAGTGCTGTTCTTGGGTGACAGGGGGCGGGCTGGTGTTGAGGACTCACTTAGACCACTGCAACACATTCTATGTGGGGCTCCCTTTGAAGGTGACCTGGAAACTACAACTAATCCAGAATGCGGTTGCTAGACTGGTGACTGGGAGTTGCTGCCGAGACCACATAACACCGGTCCTGAAAGACCTGCATTGGCTCCCAGTACGTTTCTGGCCACAATTCAAAGTGTTGGGGTTCACCTTTAAAGCCCTTAACAGCCTTGGCCCAGTATACCAGAAGGAGTGTCTCCAGCCCCATCCTTCCGTCTGCACACTGAGGTCCAACTCCCAGGGTCTTATGCTGGCTCCCTCACTGCAGGAAGTGAAGATACAGGGCCTTCTCTGTAGTGGCATCCGCCCTGTGGAATGCCCTCCTACCAGATGTCAAAGAAATAAACAACTGTCTGACTTTGAGAAGACATCTCAAGGGAGCCCTGTTTAGAGAAGCTTTTAATATGTGATGAATTATTGTATTTTAATATTTTGCTGGAAGTCACCCAGAGTGGTTGGAGAAACCCAGCCAGACGGACGGGGTATAAATCAATTATTGTTATTGTTTTAAGGACTTTCCCATGCAATATGGGAATCCACATCCATCTGAAGTTCAGGAGCAGTTGGACAATCCCCAGATTCTGGGCATCTACCGTATTTTTCGCTCTATAGGACACACTTTTTCCCCTTCAAAAATGAAGGGGAAATGTGTGTGCGTCCTATGGAGCGAAGATGCCATAGGCCCGCGACCCTCTCCCGGCTGGAGAGGTGGCGCGCGGCTATGGCAGGAACCTCTACAGCCCCGTGTCACCTCTCCAGCCGGGAGAGTGCGCGCGCGGGGCTAAAGCTTCTTAGCCCGCGCGCGCTCTCCAGGCTGGAGAGGTGACGCGCGGCTATGGCAGGAGCCTCTACAGCCGCGCGTCACCTCTCCAGCCGGGAGAGGGTCGCGGGGGCTGCTTTAGCCCCGCGCGCGCACTCTCCTGGCTGCAGAGGTGGCGCGGGGCTGTAGAGGTTCCTGCCATAGCCGCGCGTCACCTCCCCAGCCGGGCGAGTGCGCGCGGGGCTAAAGAAGCCATAGCCCCGCGACCCTCTCCCGGCTGGAGAGGTGACACGCGGCTATGGCAGGAGCCTCTCCGCTGCGCCTTTCCGCTGCTCCCTGACCTGCTCTTTGGGGCTGGCGGGGGGAAGCCCACCACCAGCCCCAAAGAGCAGGTCAAAAGGAACCTGAAGCCTGGAGAGCGAGAGGGGTCAGTGCACACCGACCCCTCTCGCTCTCCAGGCTTCCAAGGTAGCCGCCTGAACGCACCTTAAATGGCACCTTGTTTTAGAGCGGGAAAACAAGAGGGGGAAAGTTCTCCCCCTCTCTGTGCAGCGCCTCCTGCTGCTTCACTGAAGGGGTGCTGGGCAGAGAGGGGGAAAATTTTTTTTTCTTGTTCTCCCCCCTCTAAAACAAAGTGCGTCCTATTGTCCAGTGCGTCCTATGGTGCGAAAAATACGGTACATTTGGGGCCATCTGGTAGAAAAAGGGGAACTGGGTTTTTTCATGAAGAGTCGGAACAGTGTATCCATAACTTGCCCAGGAAGCAAAGGAAGAGGTGAGTGCTTTGCTGTGGTTCCAGGACAAATCTCAGACAGTTGACCAACTACAGTCCCACACACACGCACACAAAGAACAAGACAAAATGCTGACCGTGTAGAATGGAAGGAGGTTTTCCAGGAGTGCCTCCAGACTCTCAATATTTTGTGGGACTGAATCACATCCCAGAATATTAGACTAGGGACTCAGTTACATTACTCAAAAACCTGTGTTTTGAATGCATTGTAAAAAGCAACATGGTTTTTTAAAGCAGTGGTGGGGTGGCATAGGGCATTTGACACCAGTGTTGAGTGTTCCTGCTTCCAGGTTCCATCCCACCCTCACCTTTGGGAGAGTCCAAAAAGGAAAGAATGAAAAGCCCATGGCAGAGGCACAATTCTGTCTTAACACCAAACCAGCCATACCTGTGGGATTTTGTAGATGCTTGACACAGGTGACATATGTCTAGAAATATCAGCTTCAGCATCTTCAAGAACAGCCAACAGGTTATTCCTCTTCCTGGCTCCCGGTGGAGTACAAGGTCAGATTTCAGATGCTGGTTTTGACCTTTAAAGACTTTCATGGCCTAGGACCCTTGTACCTATAGGACCGCCTCTCCCGGTATGGCCCATGGAGGACCTTAAAGTCCATAAATAGCAACACCCTAAAGGTCCCGGGCCCAAAGGAAGTTAGATTAGCCTCAACCAGAGCCAGGGCTTTTAAACACTGGCTCCAGCCTGGTGAGACCAGGGCCCTGCAGGATCTGATTTCTTTCCACAGGGCCCGTAAGACAGAGTTGTTCTGCCTGGCCTTTGGCTTTGAGTCAATTTGATTCCCTCCCTCTCTTTCTTTTTTCTTTCTCCTCCTGTGATGAGGCTGCATTTTAACGTTTTAATGTTGTATTTTAATCTTGTTTTTAAGTTGTATTCATTCAACTTGTTTTTATTATTGCTTCTTAGCTGCCCTGAGCCTGGCCTTGGCTGGGGAGGGCAGGGTATAAATAAAATTAATTATTATTGTTGTTGTTATTATTGTTGTTGTTGAAAGAGCACCACATAATCAAGTAAATCAGGATGAATGCTGAATCAGCAGGGTCTCTGGAGAAGCCTTGAATCAGGTGGAGAGCATTTTTTTTTGATTGACTGATTCATTGACTGAATCAGAAGCAGAATGTCATCTCACGTTTCTCTCAAAAATGGGGTCCATTCTAGTGGACTCAAAGGAGAACTTTGGACAAATCCTTTGAGTTTTCATGAGAAGTAAAGGAAAGGGGAAGTGGGAAGAGTGATGTTGTGTCAGGCGTGGAGAGTTCTCCTCTCCCTTTGGTAACATCACAGATAAGAATTAACAAGCAGTTGATCTATTTATAGTCCTTTTATTACAGCATCATGTTGCAAGCAGAAATACACAGCTATCTGCAAGGAGGGCAGTTGGCTGCTCTAAATCCTCCTTCCGACTTCCGTAGCATTTTAGGTGCCAATGGGAAGTTCCTCCCTCCCTCTGACTTCTTTGCTCTCTGATATGTTCAGACCTCTGAGTCTGTGGTGAGGGGGGTTCCCCACACTCTCAAGTGACATCTCAACTAGCTGCCCCCTCCTTTCAGGTTCCCTTGTCATTATCTCATACCTGGGCAACTCCACCCTCAGCTGTTCAGCTCCTGTCTCTCTCTCTCCTTCTGAACACGCTGTGGACTGTCGGACTTGCATTCGACTGAGCGTCTCTTTTGGTTGAGTCTGTGATTAACAACCTGAGCCTTTGATGAGGCTCCAAGCACGTTCCCCCATTATGCAGAATATCCAGCACGCTGGGAAGGAGCCGAGATAGTATGAGCTACATTGCTAAGAGCGTTTTATTTCTAACTACGCAGACAGAAAAGAAATATACATGCTCTCTCTGTGAAAGCAGAGAGCAACTGAACAACAAAGGAACAGGAAACCAGCAAACATTACATCCGTCTCCTGTCTTCCGTGAGACTTCCAACAGTATGGAATCTCTGGAATGCATTCCCCAGTCCTCATCCTTAGACTATTCCCTGACATGTTGTGATCATTTGGGTTGCCCTTTTTAAAATTTTGATGTCGTCAATCATGGTATCCTCCTGAACTGACTTAGTGAGATGGGTGTCAGAGGCACCATATTACAGTGGTTCTGTTCATATCTTCAATGTCATGTCCAGAAAGAAGCGCTCGATGACTGCTCTTCACCCCCACCCCGGCATTTGTGCTATGGAGTTCTGCAAGGTACTATTCTCTCCCCAGCGCTATTTAAGATCTATAAGCTATATAAAATCTATATGAAGTCATGGGGTGCAGTCCTGAGAAGTTTTGGAGCATGGGCCACCAGTATGCCGATAATACACAGCTCTAGGGACATGGGTGGCACTGTGACCTATTGAGCTTCTTGGGCTTGCTGGTTGGAAGGTTGGCGGTTTGAATCCATGTGACAGTGGCAAGCTCCCATTGTTCTATCCCAGCTCCTGCCAACCTAGCAGTTTGATGTTGTTGTTTTTTTTAAAAAAATTGATTAAAATAAATATACAACATACAACAAAAAGCAATACAAGATTCACATGCCAAAATTATGCGGAATCTCCTGACTTCCCCCCATCTCTTCCATGGGTCCTAGTGTTTATATTTACATCTGCATATCAAAACTGTCCAAATTTTGTCTTTCCCAGTTCTCCATACTTTCCATTAATTTACAAGTGTGGTTAAACTCCTGCTAATGTTTTAACCTGCTTACAATGGTCTTGCTTTCTGAGCTTCCCAGTTCATTTTGCCATTTCAGCATAGTCCATCAACTTGGTTTGCCATTCTTCTCTGGTCAGGGTTGTTTCCTCCTTCCATCTCTGGGCTAGTAGCATCCGTGCGGCTGTTGTCGCATACATAAACAATCTTTTCTGGTCCTTTGGTATCTCGGTAACTGTAATTCCTAATAAGAAGGATTCTGGTTTTTTAAACAAAAGTTGTTTTAAACATTTTTTCCAATTCTTTATATATCATCTCCCAGAAATTTTTAGTTACTTTACACATCCACCACATATGATAAAAGGTACCTTCTCTTTCTTTACACTTCCAGCAGGTATTTGAACTTGTTCTATTTGGAGCCAAATACCACCAGTGCATCATTTTCATATAATTTTATGTCAATGAACAATGTGCCATAAGTTTCAAATCTGTTTTCCATAACCTCTCCCAATCTGCCATTTGTATATTGTGTCTCAAGTCCCAAGCTCTGGCTTCCATCACAGTGTCCCGTTGCGCCAGAAGCGGTTTAGTCATGTTGGCCAAATGACCCGGAAAGTTGTCTGTGGATAAACACCCGATCCCTCGGCCTGATAGCGAGATGAGCGCCACTCCCCATAGACGCATTTGACGAGACTGAACCATCCAGGGGTCTTTACATTAACACACAGCTCTATTTCTCCATAACAGGAGAGTCTGTGAAGGCTTGTGACCAGTGTCTGGATGCAGCAGTGGACTCCATAAGGTCCAATAAACTGTGTTCAAATCCTGGAAAGTCCACTTACCTTTAATGGTCAGGCGGCATTGCGGCAAACCAAGTCCACGCCCGCAATTTGGTGCCCTGCTGGGGAGGGTTGCAGCCTGCCTGCGGATTGACCAATTGTGCCAGGCTTAGGTGCAGGCATTCCGCAGGGGGTGGACCCAAACAGCCAATAGGCATTGCTTGGCCCCGCTCCCTGGGGGGATAACTTGGGGCCTGCCCAGGCCTCCTCCCCAGGTTATTGTTGGATCTCCCACCCTCCGTCCCCTTTTTAATATGTCTTATTTTCATACTAAGACCTTCCTATGAACATTGTCAGCCGCCATATTTGGGGCCTGGTGTCGGAACTCTGCACTACCGAGCTACTCTTCCTCGGACGTTCTTCCTTATCTCCGACGGTGATTAACGACCTAAGCCTTTGATGAGGCTCTAAGCACGTTCCCATTCCGCACAGTATACAAACATCAGCAGAAGGATGAGAAATATATGAGCTACATTGCTATGTTTTATTTCTAACTACACAGGACAGAAAAGAATACACATCTACTCTCTGTGAAGGCAGAGAACCAACTGGAACAAAGAAAAAGGAAATGAGTAATAACAACATCCGTCTCCCATGAGACTTCCAACAGTCTAGAATGTAAACAGAGTCTTGTGACTCCAAAAACTGC